CCTCATCGTTTAAGCTGGCTGAGGCCAATGAGTCAAACAAAACATGGAGGGCACCACTTTGGCTACCCCTACCAACCAAAGTTTGAGTTTAGTACTGTGCTACATTTTCAGATGAGTATACATAAACAGAGCAACTTTATTGTGGATGAAATTGCTCGAGAGACGTGTTTATGAAATGCACTCAAAGATCAGGCATGCGCCCCACCACTTTTAAGTTTGTTAATAGCAGCTTCCTGCAGTTGAAGGGGAAATCCCCTTTTCTACCAAAAGATGCATCACAGAACTTGTTGTGTGGCTAATTTTGCAGGTCCTTTGACTGCTCGGTATGTGGTTTGTGTTAGGAAGCTGAAAACCCTTTAGATTTCTCTGGGGAGGAAAAGTAGCTTCATTGTCCCATTTAAATCTTGCCTGTGGCTCTTGTGTTTGGCAGAGGCTGAGCCTTTTCAAATGCTGTCTATTTTCCTGTATTTACTTTAAAAAACGTGTTGGTCCTTAAGAAAAATTCTGAAACATTTATTAGTGCAATATCTTTATTAGATCAACCAAATGATCACAAAATACTCAAAATATTTGCACACTATTTTTGTGATATTTTTGGTTGGTCTAATAAAGGTATTGCCCTAATAACTATTTTGGCTTATTTAGGGTTGCCCTATTTCAAAAATTAAAAACCAGGGCATTCTGAAAGTTGTTGGAAACCCCCCAAAATTTTGTAACACCACCTTTCGGAAATTCCCCCCAGACGTCAATTTCGCCTTTGAAATCCTGGTAATGTGCGGAAAAATCCGGACCTATTCAGCCCTATATTATTTATTTTAGGTAGCCCATTGAGATACTTATCTACCACAAAATAGTCCATGTATATTCTAATTACGTTTACCCCACTTCTCCCTAACACGGGTTGCCACTGACCCAGAAAGCACACACTCTGGTCTGCTCTTATGCCTTTAGTATCAGATTGATTTGTAGAAATTGGGAAATGAGGATATTAATGTCTGTGCCATGAAAAAGTCCTGGTAATTCTTACAGATCAGTTCACAGCTAAAGGCATAGGAGGGGGCCAGCTGAAACTTTGGTTACTCTACTTTTTGCTTGGCAGCACCAACTGATCTCTGAGCTAGCATTCCCAGACCCTCTTCAGCAGAGGCATAGCTAGGGGAGGCAGGGGGCACTGGGTGCCACACCGCGGAGGGGTGGGGCTTACCGCGGGGCCTGCAGTGCACCCGAGCCGGACGTTTTTCCTGGGAGTGATGCGGTGGCTCGGGTGGCGTGGGGCTTACGTCTGCCCGTCGCCTCCCTGCAGGCTCTGAGCTGCTTGAAAAAGTGACGTAGGCCTGCAGGGCGCTGGTGCGAAATGTGGTTCGGGCACTGGGATTCTGGCACGCCCTCCCCTGTCCCAATTGTTAACGTCGCAGATGTGCTGAAGAAAAATAATCACCAGAAAAGTGCCTCTAGGCACATGCAAAGTGCATTTCCCTCGCACTTGAGCAACCACAGCTTTCTGCATTGCAGCTAGGATTAGGAAGAAAGTCCTGAGGATGAAATTCAAGCTCCAGGGTGCTCTATGTGGCCCTCAGAACTTTCACGAGGCGGCACCCAGCACCGGCCCATTTTTTCACGCTCTTGGTGACTGCTTCTGTCTGGTTGGAAAATGTGTTTGAACACTGATAATGCCTCTTGCTTGTCTGGATGGAAGACAAAGAGGGATGTCTTTGTGTAGAAACCAGCCTCTGCCCAACCCACCACTGGTGTGTGGCCCCTGAAAGGTTGCCCAGAAGGTAATACGGCCCTCAGGCTGAAAACAGTTGTCGCACTCCTGTTGTAGGTAAACAAACAATGACTGGGCACATGCTACTTTTCAAAATTTAGGCCTAGCCTCTTCTCCCTTGTGAAACGGAACAGTTGTGTTTTGATAGGCTTTTAAGGTGTGGCATAGCTAAGGTGGTGACCTTCAGATGCTGCAGGACTTCAGTGTCCATCATCCCTGGCAATTGGCCATGCTGCCCAGGGTTGGTGTAAGATGGAGTCCTATAGTATCTGGACATGGAAGTCCAATAGTAGGCTGGGATCATTCAGTGTGCACCTTAAAGGGTTACTTCTGTTAATTTGTCAACTAGCCAAGGGGTGGCAGCAGAGGTGTTGCTTAGCAACCAGGTAGAGTTGCATGAGCTTCACTGTGGTAGCATGTGCCCTGATTGGTTGTATAGCTTTGAGGGAGTTTTACCTCTGTACATTTGGTTGAGTACTTTCCTTCTATGTAAAATACCTGAACTAAGAAAGAAAATCTCTTATTCCTTTCTCCTCGGATTGTACTGTTTTGTTCATTTTCCTCAGTTATCAGGTTTTCTTCTCTATTTAAGTGCTAACATTCTGGCGCTCACTGTATGGGCTGCCCCTGACCTAGTTTTATTTGCTGCCAGTTTTGATATGTAACATCCTTTAGCCTTGCTGCCTGCGTCCATGACTCCTGCTCCTGTTTCATCCTCACAGTAACCCTGTGAAGTAGGTTAGATGTAAGTGTTACCCATGGATCTTTTTGGAGAGTTTGAACATGGCTCGCTTTGCTCCTTGTTCCACATTGCTCAACCGCATTGTTTCTTTTACTCTTTCCTTCCGAAGACCTAGAGTCTTCATGTCAAACTCAGCAGCCTTACATATGGAGAGTTTGGGGGACCTGGGGTAGCTCAGTGGAAAGAGCACGAGAGCCCCATTGGGCAAAAGATTCCTGCATTACAGAGGGTTGGACTAGATGACCCCCGTGGTCCCTCTACAATTCTGTGATTCTCTGTCTCAACTGAATCAGTCAAGACGCTGAGGATTAAGCAACTAAACATGGGAGCGACTCCCCTGGTTAGTTCAGAACACTTGATCACAATAAAGCCAGGAAATGGGATTTTATTCCTTTTACTCTTTGGGAGGAGGGCTCGTGAACATATATTTGTTGCAGTTTAAATATCCCCTTCTCTAGGTCCCCCAAAGAGGTAACAGAGGGAAGGACCATAGTTCATTGGTAGAGCAGCTGCTCTGCGTGCCGAAGCCCAGGCTTGCACACCCTCTTGTCTGAAACCCTGGAGAGCTGCTGCCAGTCTGTGTGGGCAATATTGAGTTGATGGACCAATGATCTGACTCGATATAAGGCAGCTTCCTCTGTCTAGGAAAGGGCTGCAGTTCACTGGTAGGGCATCTGCTCTGAGTGCAGAAAGTTGCAGGTCCAATTCTCAGCATCTCCAGGTAGACTAGGAAAAACTCCCACCCACCCACCCTCTGTTTAAACAGCTGGAGTCAGGACTCCTGGCACTCTGAAGAGCCTCTGTTGGTCAGTGTAGACAACCCTGAGCTAGATGGACAAAGTATGAGGCAGCTTCCTTGTTCCATGCTCTGAAACAGGCAGTGAATACGTAGCTGCTGTCCAGTTCAGCAACTATTGTTATGCAGGCAGTTGCCTGAATCCTCTGCACATTTTTCTGGAGTCCATCCTCTTCTTAAATTTGCCTTCTGTCCTCTCAAGTGTTTTTCAAAGGCCCTTCTGCTTGTGCTTTTCACAACACACCTCTTCCCTTTGGGTTATTGGTGAAGAAAACAATGCAGGGAGATCTGTAAGATGGTGGAGAGAGGAACAGGGAATCTTTTAAAATGGCTTCTGGCTCTCTGCCTCTGGAGCTGTTTGTGTCTGTTCTCCCCGCCACCTCTCTGCCTGAGTACCTCTATATTGCCCTCTGCCAGCTTCCCAAAGAAATGCATTTTGTGTTTTTGACCTTTTCCCTCTCATATTAAAAGAATTCAACTTTTATTTTTTAAATATTGTATTAAACCTTGCTGGAATAACATTCCAACCTCTGTGCCAGATATCAGTTTAAAGCCATTTCGTATTTTAGCCACAAATCTTTGGATTTGAAGTATTTCTTAGTTTATAACCTCCCCATCCCCCTTTCTTAAAACAAAAAACAAAAAAAAAAAAAAAAAACGCAGTTGGCACAAAGCAGTAGTTCTTGAACTTTCTTTCTCTTTGAGCCACACTTTCAGGAGAAAAAAATTTGCCACAACAAATTTTTATTGATGTGAAATATATTGGAAAGAAACAACTCATAGCAGTGTTGGATTTTGAAAAGATATCTATCCGTATTCTGCAAATAAAAACTATATTTTGATGCTATACTATCACGTACCCACTTTAGCAAAACAAAAATAAAGCCAACTAGAGAAGTTCAGGTTTACAATCTAAAACTGCCTTTCCCATGGAAAACGAGCGAGGTCCCAACCAAGGAAGAATGGCAACTTAAACTGATGTTAATATGCGCAGCTTGCGGACCTAACTCATAGAATAAGAGAACAAGAAGAACATGTTTAAAGAAGATTGGAAAATGTTTATTGACTATATGGGGGGAAATTGTGTACATTCGAAAACGTTGGCAACATTAAGATAAATTCAACAGTGTAAATAAGTTTTGATGGATGTAATAATGGAATACTGAATGGTTTAGTTTATATAAAATATGCAGGGATTTATGTTACGCAAAATGAACCATGGAAAGAGAAGAAGGGAAGTCATTGATATTTTATGGCAGTCCAACAGCATCTGAAGCGCACTAGGTGACTCACATCTGCTTAAGAATAATACAGTAGTACCTCGGGTTAAGTACTTAATTCATTCCGGAGGTCCGTTCTTAACCTGAAACTGTTTTTAACCTGAAGCACCACTTTAGCTAATGGGGCCTCCTGCTGCCGCCGCGCCGCCGGAGCACAATTTCTGTTCTCATCCTGAAGCAAAGTTCTTAACCTGAGGTACTATTTCTGGGTTAGCGGAGTCTGTAACCTGAAGCGTATGTAACCTGAAGCGTCTGTAACCCGAGGTACCACTGTAACAACAATAACTTTATTATTTATACCCTGCCCATATGACCGGGTTGCCCCAACCACTCTGGGCAGCTTCAACAGATCATAAGTGTGTGAACTTGCAAGATGGTTGACACTGATGAAACCCTCTCTTCTTCCTCCACAAGTCACTCAGCATCAGAAGAGGCCTCGGGGTCTGACTCGGCCAGCCAGTCCGACAGCGAGCAAGGAAGCGAGCATGGGAGCGAATCCAACAGCAGCTCGGAGACTTCCGAAAGCCAGTCTGAATCCGAAAGCGGCTCAACGGGCTCAAAATCTCAGCAGACGCCTCTGGAAGCCAAGGAGAAACCAACATCCAAGAAAGAAAGGCTCGCCGATGTCAAAAAAGTATGTTGTTCCCTTGCTGGTGGGTATGCCTAACTCAGCTGAGTGGCCTTTGGTGGAGGTGGCAAAGCACAGCCTGGTTTCTTGCCATCTACTACAAGGTCTTCTGTTTCCGGGGTTTCAGGTTTTGGTTTGATATCCTGATATTCATCTGCCTTTGCCAACCTGCTGGCTGTGGCTGATGGGAGTTGTAGTCCAAAAGGTCTGGAGGGCAATGACTTGGCAAAGCCTGAATTGTGTACCCTTCTGGATTCTTTTGTGTGTCGTTGGAATTTGGCTGAGTTGCCTCTTCGGTACTTTGAACCGCTGAAGGAAATTCTGAAAAGAAGGGACAGTTTGATTGGAAGGTTTGCAAAGAGCTAGTCATGATGTGTTAAAATAAAATTTAAAAAGTGGCAGGGAAAAGACATAGAATGAGGAATGTATTAAAGGTCTGCAGAATTAGAAAGGGTTTGTAGGAAATTCTGTCTTGAAGGAGAGGTGGACTTGCAAAATCCACACACTCCATGCTATTCCTACGTTTGTTAGATAAGAATTTGAGGGTTTCTTTGCTGGATCAGGCTAAAGGCCTATCTAATCCAGCATCCTCTTCTCACAGCAGCCAAGCATTTGCCACTTTTGGAAGCCACACGCCATCCTTGAGTGAGTGCCGGTGTTGCACCAATATAGGGGCAGAGGCAAGGAGCTTGTAATCAGTCTGTGGAACTCACTGCCACAAGATAATTTTGTTTACTCATTATTTATTTAGCATATGAGTGATGGCAGGTGACAACAACATGGCTTTAAAAGCAGATTGGGCAAAATCACAAAGCCTTGGTATGTTAGCTGTTACTGGCCGTGATAGTGGAGTTGAACCTCCATGTTGTTGTTTTTATTTTGATTATGTACTTTGTGATTTTATATTCTGATTTAATCCTGTGAACTGCCCTGAGACCTGTGGGTAGAGGGCGGTATATAAATTCAGTAAATAATAATAATAATAATAATAAAGTTCTTTTGAGTACTTTGAGTTCTTTTGAGACACCATTGGTGTCTTGCCATTCTCGCTTCTAGCCTTGCAGAGTTCTTGGGAGCATAAGAAAGAGGGAACATCTGTCGACTGCCCTGAATCCATGGATGAAGGATGCAGTACAAATGTGATTATTATTTATTTTGCAGATGTGGGAAGAATATCCAGATGTTTATGGGGTGAGGAGGTCGAACCGAAGCAGGCAGGAGCCCTCGCGCTTTAATATAAATGAAGAGGTAAGGGGAGGGAGGATAAAGAGGAGGGGAAAGACATTATTGGGAATGGCCAAGCCATTCTGTTCAGTGTTGCCTTTGAAACACAGAGGTGGCGCCATGGCAGCTGCATTTTTCCATTGGACGTGCCGTGCGCCATTCCTGCAGTCTGACCTGAGCAAGCAGCGCCCGTGGAATGCCCCTGAACTTTCAATGTTATGGTTACAAAGTTCCAGTTGCACAATCCGAATTGGGAGTCTGATGTGGTTGTGATGTAAACGCTGGGAAAATGATTGCAGGAACGGCTGTGCTTGGAACCTCAGAGGGGCACCATTGAGATGAATTCATTTTGTGTGTATGTAGGGGTGTGTGTTTGCATGATGTTTTATTTCACTAAACCATTTCCCTCCCTTTCGCACTTGTAGATAATTAGTCATCTCTTGAATTCAGTGCATGAAATGAACTCAGTTTGGGGTTTTAATCATCTGTTGGCTGAGACATTTCTCTCCTTCCCTGCCTTCCATCAAATTCTGCTAAGAACAATGTGGTTCTGGAACTTGCGACCTTTTATTTGCTGTCCATTTCGTGAGTTGCTTTTCCTCCCCCGCCCCTTTCAATATTCCCCCACAGCCTACCAATTTGTAAGGAGGGTAAGCAGTGGTTTCGCCTTCTGTTTTTTACAGATGGAGAAAATGAGGCTCAGGAAAGTTCAGAGTCACACTGAAAATGTCCAAGTTGGAAACCCAAAGGTAGGCACCTAAATTTATATTCAAGCACCTGAAAATATAAGCGGCACCCGCATCTCCCATTCGGGAGTCCTCTAAAAATGGGTCCATTTATGCTTGGGTGCCTATATATGGATTTAGGTGCCTAGCATCAGGCACCCACGGTTGAGCATTTTGTCTCAAAATGCATATTAATTGTTCTTGGCCACTTAAGGCCAACTTGGAGTTGAGTTTTGATTAGATTTGGTTTTCCTCAGTGTGCAACTTGATAGCACACTGACTTGTGTTGCATCTCCAGGGTCAAAGCTGGTAGAATAATAGAATCATAGAGTTGGAAGAGACCACAAGGGCCATCGAGTCCAACCCCCTGCCAAGCAGGAAACACCATCAGAGCACTCCTGACATATGGTTGTCAAGCCTCTGCTTAAAGACCTCCAAAGAAGGAGACTCCACCACACTCCTTGGCAGCAAATTCCACTGTCAAACAGCTCTTACTGTCAGGAAGTTCTTCCTAATGTTTAGGTGGAATCTTCTTTCTTGTAGTTTGGATCCATTGCTCCGTGTCCGCTTCTCTGGAGCAGCAGAAAACAACCTTTCTCCCTCCTGTATATGACATCCTTTTATATATTTGAACATGGCTATCATATCACCCCTTAACCTCCTCTTCTCCAGGCTAAACATGCCCAGCTCCCTTAGCTGTTCCTCATAAGGCATCGTTTCCAGGCCTTTGACCATTTTGGTTGCCCTCCTCTGGACACGTTCCAGTTTGTCAGTGTCCTTCTTGAATTGTGGTGCCCAGAACTGGACACAGTACTCCAGGTGAGGTCTGACCAGAGCAGAATACAGTGGCACTATTACTTCCCTTGATCTAGATGCTATACTCCTATTGATGCAGCCCAGAATTGCATTGGCTTTTTTAGCTGCCGCGTCACACTGTTGGCTCATGTCAAGTTTGTGGTCAACCAAGACTCCTAGATCCTTTTCACATGTACTGCTCTCAAGTATGCATCTAAGGACCAGTTGCTGGGGTGCACAAGCGAGGGAAAGTGCTGTGGCATTTATATCCTGCTTGCAGGCTTCTCAGATGCATCTGACAGCATGTTGCAGGACTAGATAGCCTGTTGGTCTGATCCAGCTGCCAGGCTGTTCTTACATTCATAAAAAAGGTGGTGCCAGAGATTGTCTTGTTTCCTACCTTTTTATCCAGTCTACCTGCCAAAACCCTCGAGGCAGTTTACATTTTTATAATAAGCACTTCTGGATTTAAGATCTGTCCATCAAGACAAACTCACATACTAACACATAAGGTGGTCAAACACACACTTGTCTATTCAGATGAGGGATAGGGAGCCTGTGGCTCTCCATATACTCCTGGACTACAACTCCCAGCAACCCTGACTATTGGCCATGCAAATTGGGGCTGATGGGTGTTGGAGTACAGGCAATTCCCTGTTTGCGTGGGAGTTGCATTCCAGGTCATGGTTCGTGTTGGCGGTTTCGCGTCAATCGGACGCACACAAAATAGCCTCTACCTGTATATCAGCATCTCAAGGGCCACAGGTTCTCTATCTCTAAAGTATATATCTGCATTTTGCAATGTTTCTCCCGCTTGACTGCCCAACCCTTTCCACAAATACCAGTTGTGTTTTACTCTGTAAAAGCAGTATGCATGGGGTGTGTTTGTGTGTGGACGCAAGGAAGGTGCTTAAGCAAATGCTCCCCTCTATTGTCCACCCAACTTCCCCTCCTTTTTCTGCTGCTCTGGGGAGACCTCCCCCCCCCAAGTCCCAGATGTGGGTGGTCCAACATCCCTTCCTCTTACTGCCTCACAACAGTAATTAAGCAACCAAGTGTCCTTTACAATGGTGCTGCCTGCCGAGTGCCAAAGCCTTAGAGCTGCCTCCGTGTTTTGTTTTATAACTTTCACAATAATGGTAAGCCCGTATTCTCATTTCCCATATTACAAATGAGGGAAAACAGACTTGCTCACTGAGTGAGTTAATGGTGGAGGCAGAATCTGAATCTCGGTCTCCTAACCATCACACTGAGCCAGCTCTCAGGATGCTGGCAAAGAGATGCACCCCGTTTCCATACTACTCAACCATGGCACCCATTTTTCTGCAGTACTCTGTGGCCAGATTGTTGCTCCCTTCCTGTCCTATGATACTTGGTATCCCACTATCATAGATGGCGTCCCCCCCACCCCACTTCAACTCCTCCACCTCCCAAACTTCCTAGTTTCCATGGGAAATGAGAAAGCCAGGAGATACTTTGCAGACCATTGTAGTTGTTTGCTTTAGGGGTGATCAGGTTGCCTGTGGCCCTTCAGAGGCTGCCAGACTTCCAGCCATGCACACAGGACAAAAATGAACAATGAGATTTGCTAGCACAGGAGATAGTGAGGGCCACCAACTTGGCTGGCTTCAAAAGAGGATTCATTGAGGAAATGGCTATCATTGGTTACTGGCCAGGATGCCACACTATGCCTCTGAATACCAGTTACTGAGAATTTCAAGTGTGGAGAGGGCTGTTCCATCCAGGTCCTGCTTGGGTGCTTCTGAAAGGCATCTGATAGGTCACTGCCAGAACAGCATGCTGGTCTAGATGGGCCTTTGGCCTATCCACCAGGGTTCTTCTTATCTTCTTAACTCTTATCAACCCTGACCATCATCCACATCGCTGGGGGCTACTGGGAGGCAGATTCCAAGAAAGTCTGGAGGGTGCCAGGTTTCCCATTATTGACAGAAATCCGCAGATCCTCCCTCCCCGTCCCCCAAGAAAGGTCAGATCCAGTGGGCTGTTAGCATGCCATTTATGCCAGCTTTTGTTTTCCTTTTTCCCAAGTTCTGCCAATACTAGGCTCTCTCTGTAACGATGGCCCAGCATGCACTGTGCTGGTGATGTCACACCCACCTCAGATCTCCGCTGCAGACGAAAGCAGCTCCCTCTAGGGGCTCAGGTAAGTCCTGTCCTTTTTTTGTTTTACAATATTATGTGGTCTCATAACTATTGGGCCCATTTCCTCCATTGCCATTGGCTATGCTGTAAGATAAAGAGTTGAAAACAAAAAACAAAAAAGTACACACATATGTGTCATTCAGTAGGAAACTTTTGCTTATACCACACAATATTGTAAAACCCAAAAAAGAACGCTCCTCTTCCCTTCTGAAATGGAGGTGGAAACGCAGAGTAGGCCCATAGCTCACCACATGGAACAGAGGCTTCCTTCCATGGAACAAGGAATGGGGAAGTTGTGCTGGCGCACAGTTAGAAAGCTGTGGGAGATTCACTGCTCCCTCGCTCCTGCCACCAAGTGATGGTTTGGCTTGGTGTTGTGTCCCAACCTGGGTTCATGATTGGTCTCACTTCAAAGGAATCGCAAGCAGTAAGCTGAGAACAAATCTTGGCTGCAGCTTGTGGTTTGTTTGGAGCGACACAAAGCCCAGTGCTGGGTTGGGACGTAGTGCTAAGCCCGACCTGTGCAAGTAGCGAAGTGGCTGCAGTTTTGTCACTGTGCGCCAGCATGCTTGCTCGCTTGCCTTAAGCCATAGTTTGCCCCAGCACTGTGTGGGAACCAGGCCAGTATGTTACACCAGCCTTCCTCAGCCATGGATGGAGTTCAAATCAGTTAAACTGAGCTGATGCAAAATTTCTGCATGTGGACACTGTGGTTGCTAAACAAGAGGCATTTCTTCTTGGGCTGTTCTGGGAATTCTGTCTCACTTCTATGTTTTTTAAACCAACACCATTCAGCGAAGGAACACCTTCACCTTCGTCAATTTTCACATAATCCCAGAAGACATGTTTCTAACTGAGACATACATTCAGTGTTCTCTTAGCTGTCTCCCACCCCCAAGTTTGGTATCAGGATAGTCTCCTTATCTGATTGGAATAGGACAAAAAGGGGCACTTAAACCTCCCCCCCCCGCTTGGGCAACTTTCTAATTGAAATTGTCCATTTCCCGCTGCTGTTTTGCCCATGTAATCCTAGAAGATCCTTTGCTGTCTTACCTTGTTTGTCTTTCATTTGAAAAAGGTGCTCTTTTCTTCATTATAACGTACACAAAATAAAAATGAAGGAGGCAACACCTACAAGCATGTGAGGAGTCGTACAGGTGGAAACGAGGCCTGAAAAAGTCTGAAATAGGCAAATGTTGGTAAAGGTGGGGCAGGGCCCCTTTCCGAAATAAGCCACAGAATGAAACTAAGCTCTTCCATGTCCACTAGCAGTGGTTTAATTTTGCTGGTATGTTTTGGATTAGACCTCAGGACCTCTTAAGGTTTTCAGGTCCACACCGGCCACATGGCTGCCACTTTCTTCTCATCTCCTCTCCTGCCCCACCCTCCACTTTTGTGTGGGTATAGGCGGTTGGGAGGATTCTGCGAGTGCCATCTTAGGACAGGCCGGGCACGAGACGCCCTACTAGGCTTCTTGCCTGATGACAAAGCTCTGAGTTCAGCCTCTGGCCCCCAGATACTGTATTTTGGATGACAGCTCCCTGATAGGAGTTGCCTTAGACAGCCAGGACCTGAAGCTAACCTTGGCTTTTGTTGGCAAGGCTCTTATCTGCAGCAGAGAGTGCCAACGAAGGGTGAGACATGCCCAGCAGGACAACACAGAAGCTTTGTGGTGATCGGTAGCTGGCAGGTGGGACTGCCTTGTGTTTTGGGGCAGGGAGCATTGAAGTTGACAAGCCTGGGCCTGTACGTTGGTGCATGTTGGTGATTGCAAAAGGGGGCTTGCTTAGGGTTGGCTGACATGTCAAGCATTAGGTGTTCTTGGGAGGTGAAGGTTGCTTAAAGTAAGCAAATGGTTCACATCACAGAGCCATAGAACTGTAAGGTTGGAAAGGACTCCAAGGGTCCAGCAGCTCAATGCCCAAATCGAGGATGTAAGTGATGGCGAATAAGCATGTTCCCTCGCCTTTGAACTCGGCAAAGCCCTTTTTCATTCTGTTTTGGGTTTTTTTTGCCCCCGATGTGCCTGCCTCAAACCCCAGAGAGCTGCTGCCTACCTGTGGAGACAACACTGAGCTCTCACACCCCCTTCTCGACCATCTCCCTATCCCCTGTCATATGACTCTTGCTTCTGCCCCTCTTCAATCCCCCCCATGGTTGTTGATTGCTTTCTCAAGGATCTTGCTGGTATGGGGGCAACTAGGGGTGTTTTCTTGCCATGACGCTTTGACGCATTGTTGAGAAGCTATTTCTCTTTGCCTTTTAATTGCAAATCGCACTTGTATGTAACACATGCCCCCTTCTTTGGGGTCCTGCAGAACAACGGTTGGAACTTTCTGGAGCGGGGTGGCTGGCCCTCTTCTTCCCAAGGGACAAAATTCAGCCTTGGAAAAGCCTTTGGGGGCTACATGCTAGTGATGGATGTGACCTCCCACACAAGAAACCCAGCTACCCTCCTCATCTTTGTGGATCAGCTGAGGAGGGTTTTTCCTTTTCGCTCTTGCTCATGAAATGATTCATCTCATGACGGGGGAGGGGGCATAATCAAGGTGCTCCACTGGGTGGAGATATTTCTGCCTACCCTAGCACTCTTTTTGCATTTATTTTTATTTTTATTTTTGCTGCCACTGACAGAATGGTGTGTTCTTACTGGAGAAGAGAGGAGATGCAATGGAAACAAATTCTTGGGAGGCTGAATCGGGCCAGCTCTGATCTAGAGCCTAGCCTGTCACAAACTGTTTCCGACATGGAAACCCATGCCCGTTAGAGAGGTTGTCAGAGTCACATGTGGGGAATGGCCGTAGCTCAGTGGTAGATCATCTGCTTCGTATGCAGAAGGTCCAAGGTTCAATCCCCAGTATCTCCAGATAGGGCTGGAAATGCTTCCTGCCTCAAACCCGTGGAGAGCTAGCTGCTGCCAGTCAGTGCAGACAATACTGAATGAGATGGACCAAGGGTCTGACTCGGTACAAGACAGCTTTGTATGTCCCCACTCCATCCCTTTCTGACTGCCATAGCAGTGGCAGGCATTTCATGAAGGTTATTGATAGATTGCCTTGTGCACTTAGTTCTGGTTTGTTACTCATTTTAGTCTCCTTGCCTTTTGGGGTTTTTATTCCTTGCTGTGTACTCCCTTCTTCACCCATTTGTGCACCTGTAGCAGAATGGACCTTCTTTTTGGGTCAGGGCTGCAGGCGTTCAGGTGCTTGCCCAAATGGCAGGTTTTTTATTTTTTTGCTTAGGCAAGGAGAGCCATCTTACTAGTGTTTTGTCCCGAGTAGTTTGGTGTTGCTGCTTTTGCAGTTTGGGTGTGAACGACTTCCATGTCCGACCACCGTTAGCTGATCGTGAGCATTCAGCAGCAGCAAGGTGCCTCGTTCACGGTTCCCCTTCCTCTCTCCTTTTTCGTTTAAGGGAAATAGCGAGTCTGAGAGCGAAAGCCCCAAAAGAAGAGGCCAAAAGCAAATGAAGAGAACGTAAGTTTTGAGGGCCCTGTAAAACTCTGCATCCTTATTACTATGATTGATTGACTGATTGATTAATCACATTCTAAACCACCACCTCAAGGTGACTTCCACATAAGAATATTAAAAACAGCTAAGAACACAAAAAACAACAAATGCATTTATAACAAGACTAAAACCCTAACAAATTGATACTCATTGCAAAGGCCCATTTGTCCAGCTGAGAAAACCTGTTGGAACAAAAATGTCATCCATTGATTCCAGAAATTACTGCTAGGCTGGGAGTGGGCTGTCATATCTCAACAGGAATGCTGTTCCACAAAACATGGGCAGTCACACTAAACACTGTGCTCGCTGAGTTCCTTTTTCAGGAGGGTTCTTGCCAACCTTTTATGCTTGAAATGTTAATGCCTCTTGAACATAGTAGAATCATAGAATTGTAGAGTTGGGAGGGACCACAAGGGTCATCTAGTCCAACCCCCTGCAATTCAGGAATCGTTTGCCCAACATGGGGCTCAAACCCACAACCCTGAGATTAATACAGCCACCCTGAAACTGGTAACCACCAGATATTGCTGGACTCCAACTCCCAGGAGCCCCAACCAACATGGCCAGTGGTCAGGGATGATGGACATTGTAGTCCAGCAACATCCAGAGGGCATTGCAGTGCACATGGCCGTATTCTTCGTGCAGCCCACATATGAATTGTGTGTCTACTCAGAGCACCATTTGGGGCATTCTGGAGCAGAGGTAGCCAATGCCAGGTCCTCCAGATGTTGCAGACTACAGCTACCATCATCCCTGACTAATGACAATGCAGGCTGAGGCTGGCGGGAGTTGTACCCCATCAACTGGGGGGACACCACTTTGGCTATGCCTCCTCTAGAGCCAAGGTGGCTAGCCTGTGTTCTTCCAGATCAGGGTTCCCCAAACTTAGGTCTCCTCTCCAGCTGTTGTGGGACTACAACTCCCATCATCCCAAGCTAGCAGGACCAGTGGTCAGGGATGATTGGAATCATAGTCCAAAAACATAGTCCAAAAACTAGCCAGTTTGGAGAAAACTGTTCCAGATGTTAGACTCCAGCTCCCTTCATCCCTGACCATTGAATGTGCTGACTGTGGCTGATGTGAATTAGGGTTCAGAAACATCTGGAGAACCACAGGTTACGTCACCCCTGTTCTGCAGTGAAGCCAGTCAAGCATTTTTAGGTGTGATAGCCTATAACATGGGGTATAATGTTTTTAATGTTTCGACCTTATATGCCTGTCTCTCCTTCTCTAGGACAGGGGGAACATATAGCCCCCCAGATGTTTTCAGGCTACAGCTCCCACTATCCTTTGATCCATTGGCCATGCTAAAGTCTTAACAATATCTGGAAGGCTGCAGGTCTCCGTTTATGCTCTAGATGCAAAAGGGGACATCTTCTGTGTAACAGTTGCACAGAAGAGAGAATTTTGGATGATGCAACTTTTTCCTCACTCCTTTGGGGCAAGCTGCATCTGCTTAACCCCCCCCCCCTGTACACAACTATTAAAAGCAAAGGGCCCTCCTTGTTGTTGTTGTTGTTGTTTTTTTTTTAAAAAGGAAAAAAGGCAGGGGGAAAGTTCTAGCCAAAGGAGTGGTGGTAATGTTTTTCAGTGCGGTCTTCCACCCAGGCCAAGCTGTGACTCGCTTTGGAGTGCTGAGCCTCTGGCTGAAGACCAGTAACTCTACATCAGTGGTATTTCTTAGTGTAATGATCAAGAGGCACATAGAGCACATTATCCTAATGTGTATTAATAGAGTAAGGTAAAGGTAAAGGGGCCCCTGACCATTAGGTCCAGTCGTGGCCGACTCCGGGGTTGCGGCACTCATCTCGCTTTATTGGCCGAGGGAGCCAGCGTACAGCTTCCGGGTCATGTGGCCAGTATGACTAAGCCGCTTCTGGCGAACCAGAGCAGCGCGTGGAAACGCCGTTTACCTTCCCGCCGGAGCGGTACCTATTTATCTACTTGCACTTTGATGTGCTTTCGAACTGCTAGGTTGGCAGGAGCTGGGCCTGAACAACGGGAGCTCACCCCGTGGCGGGGATTCGAACCACCGACCTTCTGATCGGCAAGCCCTAGGCTCTGTGGTTTAACCCACAGCGCCACCCGCATCCCTATTAATAGAGTAAAAAGAGTAAAATTAAGTACAGTTGTACCTCCGGTTACGTATCCTTCCGGTTACGTAAACTTCAGGGTACGTAAGCAGCAAACTGGATGTATATTTCCGGGTTTTTGCCGTGCACACGCAGAAGCGGTCCCTCCGGTTGCGGAAACCCGGAGTTCCGGAACGGCTCCCATCCGCAACCGGAGATACCACTGTACATAAAAACACCATAGAATGAAATAAAATGAGTGTCAACATTTTGCTCTGTTCGCATCACAAACTCCAAAGAGGAAAAATGGCAAAATGTCTGGGGTCAGTTCCTGGTGGGTTTTCCCTTTCTGCAGCTTAGTACTTGGCCACACCGAGAGCGATAGATGCCTTTTGATCTGAGAGGAGCGAAAGGACGTAAAACGCATCCGATCACCCTGGCAGATTTGACAAGAGGGGCTCTGCAAATGTTTGGTTGCACATCTCAGTAAAAAGGAGCAAAGCAAGGAGGACCTTGGGTCACCGACTCAACTTCTCCAGAGCTGCAGGGATGCTTGTGCTTCTGGCATGTTGTGTGTTCCCTCCAGAACCGGACATTATAACGATAACCCTTGTTGGCGTTTTGCTTATAAATCTAGGGAACGATGGAAAAGGGAGGGCTCTGAGGACGATGGTGAGGAGGAAGACGGACAGGAACAAGGCACCAGCGCAGAAAGCGAACCAGAGCAGAAGAAAATAAAAGCTCGGAGACCTGTCCTGAGGAGGTAAGAAGGGGTGGGGGGGGTGCTGCCTTCCTTGGGTTTGCCATGCTTCCCTCACCCACCCATAGACTCTGCTTCTGGGCCCTTTTAACAAGCAGCCTGACCTACATATCTTCAGGAAATGAAACTTTTCCTGCCCTTCTCTGACTGGACTTGAGGCTCCCAATGAAGACTGGGCCTACCTCCCCCTATCCTCAACTGCTTCAGTTGGGCCCCCTTGCTCTCCCCAGCTCCTCTCCTCCCTGACACACCTCCCCTCAATAGGAACCACCACCGACAACAACAACAACCCCACACAAATTTAAAATGGTTGAAACAATTGTTGGACTCCCATTAGCTCCAGACAGCACAGTTAATAGCCAGGGATGATGGGTGTTGTAGTCCCAACAACATCTAGAACAGGCATAGGCAAACTATGGCCCTCCATATGTTTGGGACTACAATTCCCATCATCCGTGACCACTGGTCCTGTAAGCTAGAGATGATGGGAGTTGTAGTCCCAAACATCTGGAGGGCTGGAGTTTGCCTGTGCACCAAGGTTGGGAAAGGCTGTCCTTGATCAGCTGCTCCCTTTGTATCCCACGGTCTGTATAATACACACCGTGGTGTGTTTTCATGCTCGTTTTTTAGAGCAGCGAGCAAAGCCATTGCGAAAAAGGTCCACAGGCCCCAGCGTGGGAAGAGGCGGAGGAAAACAGAGTCGTCTGAGGACGAAGATGATGATGATGATGACGAGGCACCCAAAAGGCAGACCCGGCGCAGAGCAGCCAAAAACGTCAGGTAATGGCGGGCAGGAGCCCTGGTGCACGGAGAGCGCCCGTTTCTAGATTTGTATATGGGCAGAAGCAGACCAATGTCTGCATGTGAACCCCTGTGTTGTCTTCAGTCCTCTGCTAAGAGTGCCCTCTTGAGAAAAGTCCCCCAAAATGTTATATTGATGGTATTTGACGCCTTGGAAATTATCAAAAATTTACAAAAGTGTACCAAATAATTGTTGGAGATGTGGGGAGCCAAGTGTCAATATGTTCCATATGTGGTGGGTGTGTAAAAAGAGTAAAATATTTTGGAGTGATATTTATTCGAACTAAAAAAAAAAGTTAAAGATATCCCTCTTTAAAAAACCAGAATCATTTCTACTCAGTATAACAGGCCCTGACATTCCTCAGAAACGTAAGAAAGGTTTCCCTATATGCTACAGTAGCTGCAGGGATACTTATTGCTACACACTGGAAAAGCGGTAAAGTCCCCTCCAAATCAGAGTGGCTATTGAAAGTTGTAGAATATGCTGAGCTAGATAATCTTTCATGAAGGATCAAAGATAAACCAAAGCAGGACTTCATCTCAAATTGGGAAGTTCTCAAGAAATATCTTGAGAACAGCTGCTGTGACTTAAATTCTGTAATAGCCTTTGACTAACCTCTGTAAATAATTTGTACAAAAAGAGAATGATACAATTATTTGTACTTTATTACTAAACAAATGGACAAATCTATGAAATAGGTTTCAAGAGAACAAAATATGGAAAAGACAGGAAGTCTGACGCTGTGGAAGAAAATTTATTGTTAAAATGTTAGTTTCCCCCCCTTTTTTGTATCAGTTTATTGGTAACAATGAACTCAAGTTTATGTTGTACAGTTGTAAATAAGTATAATAAAGCATAATGAAATTTTTAAAAAAGAAAAGAAAAAAAGTGGCCGCTTGAGGAAATGTTTTGTGTATCAAGTCGGAAGGTGCTTTACACCGAGTCAGATCACTGGTCCATGTAGCTCAGTACTGTCTACATCAGTGGTTCCCAGTTAGCTAAGTACTACAGACCCCTGTTTTTCAAAAGCCAAGCCATGGGCCCCCTGCTTTTGAAGATGTTTATATAGTGGTACCTCTGGATGTGAACGGGATCTATTCCGGAGCCCCGTTCACATCCTGAGTAGAACGGAACACACGACTGCATGGGTCGTGTTTCGCCACTTCCGCGCATGCACGTGATGTCATTTTGAGCACCTGCGAATGTGCGAGGCGGCGAAACCTGGAAGTAACGCAGCCCGTTACTTCTGCGTCGTCGTGGCGTGCAACCCGAAAATGCTTAACCTGAAGCTACTTCAACCCGAGGTATGACTGTAATTTTTGGGCAGTTTTTGTTATGTGAATAGTGCCACCATAACCTCCAACACGTCTCAGCGCAAACCTGGGCCGCACTCCCATGCGAGAACGTGACACCCCCAAAATGAGTGTTTTTGGCTGCCGCAGTCTCACTTGAGACGTGTGTCCGCCCATGATCTTGCATGTTTTTGGGGTGCCATGCTCTCACGCTAAGTAGGATGGGGGACACAACATGTCAGTAGCCAAGGGGGTTGAACCCAGCACCGCCTTGTGACCTCGCCCCTCCAGGAGAGATTGCAGCTCCACAGCACAGAAGAATATAAACACATTTATTTGTATATAAAGAAAGAAAGAGACTTATGCTGTTGCCTTTTTGGTCCTGCCCGAAGTTACAAGGAAGACGATGACTTTGAGACGGACTCAGACGACCTGATTGAAATGACAGGAGAAGGGACTGAAGAACAGCAGGATAACAGCGAGACCATTGAGAAAGTGATAGACAGCAGGGTGGGCAAGAAAGGAGGTGAGTGTCTATAAGCAGGGGTCACCTGCCTTGTGCCAGTGGTCTCACTTGGTATATTTAGCTAAGCTTGGTCAACTCCCGACAGGGTGATGCACAGGTACAGATAGAAAAAAAAGCCCCCCATGCAATAGCGTTCAGCAATAAAACAACATAAACACAAAAAACAGCAGTGCCATTTAACCAATTGAATTATAAAACAAAAAACTTAAAGCTGTTCAATGTGCTGGGATGTCTGGCCGAAAAAACACAGGCTTCAGTTGGCTGTGAAAAAGATAGATACCAAACTGGGATAAAGATTTTAGAAGGGGCCGAACAGACAACAGAGAAGGCGCCCGTCTGGTATTTAATGGGAGGGAGTTCCCAAGCATTTTGGCAGGTTTTAAGTTTTCTCACTGCAAAACTCGCTTCCACAGGAGGCCGTGATGGCCACCAACTTGGACGGCTTTGAAAGTGGATTGGGCAAATGCGCAGAGGACAAGGCTTTCTGTGGTTACTAGCCAACGGCTATGCTCTGGTTGGAGCCAGATGCTGCAAACCAAAGGGGTTGGTGGGGGAAGAGTGCTCTTGTGCTGCATCCTGCTAGCGGGTTTCCCACAGGGATCTGAGTTGACTCCTGAGAAAACAGGATGCAGGACAAAGATGGGCCGTTGCCCTGAGCTGGCGGGCTCTTCCTAACGTTGATTAACTTCTGCTGTCTCTTTGACAGCCACTGGCGCTTCCACCACTGTCTACGCGACAGAAGCGAATGGGGACCCTTGTGCCGACTTTGATCCTGAGAAGGAGGAAGGGGAGCTCCAGTACCTGATTAAGTGGAAAGGCTGGTCGTACATCCACAGCACGTGGGAGAGTGAAGATTCCCTGCAGCAGCAGAAGGTCAAAGGGCTGAAGAAGCTGGAGAACTTCAAGAAGAAAGAGGATGAGATCAAGCAGTGGTACGTCTCCTCTGTATAAAGGGGTCCTCTTCCCTAGGAAGGACACTTGCACAAAGCAGGATGCAGGCCTAGCCACATTGAGCTAGCTCCCACACCACTTCCATGTTGGTGTAGTGGTTAGAATGTTTGACTAGGACCTGGGAGACCAAGGTTCAAATCCCCACTTGGCTGTGAAGCTCTCTGAGTGACCTTGGTCCAGTCACGATCCCTTAGTTTAGTTTAGCTTCACAGGGGTGTTAAAGATAAAGTAAAGGGACCCCTGACCATTAGGTCCAGTCATGGCCGACTCTGGGGTTGCGGTGCTCATCTCGCTTTATTGGCCGAGGGAGCCGGCGTACAGCTTCCGGGTCATGTGGCCAGCATGACTAAGTTGCTTCTGGGCGAACCAGAGCAGCCCACGGAAACGCCGTTTACCTTCCCGCCGGAGCAGTACCTATTTATCTACTTGCACTTTGACGTGCTTTCGAACTGCTAGGTTGGCAGGAGCAGGGACCGAGCAACGGGAGCTCACCCCATCACGGGGATTCGAACCACCAACCTGATCGGCAAGTCCTAGGCTCTGTGGTTTAACCCACAGCGCCACCCGCATCCCTTCTCACAGGGGTGTTACTTGAGGATAAAATGGAGGGCAGTGAGCCTGCATGTCACTGTGAGCTCCCTTGGAGGAATTGTGGGATCAGCTCTCATTATCACGCCTGAAGTGGGTGTAATATTCCTCTCGCTTCCAGATATGAAATTCAGGCCCTGAAGGTGCTCTTGATTGAAACCTGCTTCAGCTCTTCAAGTGGCTTTAAAATCTTCAGGGAATAGTTTGGGCAGGATAGCGCTCGGATGTTCTGGCTGTCAAGGGTCGCCAATCTTTTTGGGCCAACATCCACATTTGGAGTTTTAAGGAAGTGCCATGGGCGCCAGTCACAAGATGGCAGCCACGGGGTGTGTGGCATAACTCAAGACGGCTGTCATTGTGGGCATGGCACAATGCAAGATGGCTTCCTTAGGGGTGTGGCATAACGCAACATGTCTCCTCTGGGGCCGTGGCATAACACAAGATGGGTGCCACATCTGAAAGAGCAGAAAAAGAGAAGGATACAAAATGGTGCAAGACTACCAAATCAAACACACTCATCGGTGAGGAGGAAAGGCACCTATTGTCAGCCACTGCTCTTACTGAAAGAAACTCCTCTTCTCTGTTTAGAATAGAAGAGAGGGTGGACATTCAGTTTTGGCACCCAGTAGAAACACAGTCACGTTTAAGAGTGTGTGTTCAATGTAAGAGAGACTTGAGCCAGTGCAAAAAGGAACTGAGCAGGAAGAGCAAACAGTCTCTTTCACATTGTGGATTTTTGAGGAGTTTTGTTTGGAGACCTTTTGTGGGCACCTCGGGGCAGCACATTGGCAGCCCCCTGCTTTTACCTGCACTCACTCTGCAAAGGGCCTTTATCTGTCTCTTTCCTGCACAGGCTGGCAAAGGTGACTCCCGAAGATGTGGAATACTATAACTGCCAGCAAGAGCTGGCTTCCGAGTTGAACAATCAGTACCAGATAGTGGAGAGAGTGATTGGTGAGTCCAGAGCTCTGTGTTCGCCCCAAGTGTGCCACTGAATGCCAGTTACCAGAGTCGCAGGTGGGGAGAGAGTGCTCTTGCACTAGAGTCCTGCTTCTGAGCATCCAGTGGATGCCTTTAGCCACTGTGAGGACAGGGTGCTGGACCAGATGGGCCTCATTTGGCCTGATCCATCTTCAGGGCCCTTCTTACATTCTTTTGATGGTCTTCACAGTTCTACATCGCTGTATTTATTGGTGCTGTTCTGTTCTTGATACGCAGCTGTGAAGACGAGCAAATCGGCAATCCCTGGGTCTGAATTTCCAGGTAACTTTTAACGCTTTTAATGGCTTCACTGAAACAACGGTGCCAGTTTTTTCAGAAGGGGCCTCGTGTAGGGTAGCACCTGTCAAAGATGACACCAGGCCTTTCCTGTTTTGTTGTTTTGTTTCAACACCTGTAGCTCACAACCGCAAATCCTCCTCCACTGATCCCGAATACCTTTGCAAGTGGATGGGGCTTTCGTACGCAGATTGCAGCTGGGAGGATGAGGCCTTGATAAGCAAAAAATTCCAGCACTGCATTGACAGCTTCAACAGCAGGAACAACTCCAAAACAATGCCCACCCGGGATTGCAAGGTTTGTCTGCTTTTCCTTTACCTGTCTGGTCTTTGATTTCTCTCCAGTGGACAGTTGCCAGCTGGAAAAACCACATGCTTTCCTTCGCAAATTTTGGTGAACCTTTAAACTATGTGATGCACTCTTTGCAGCAACAACAACAATAATAATTTATTATTTATACTCCACCCATCTGGCTGGGTTTCACCAGCCACTCTGGGCGGCTTCCAACAAAATATTAAAATACAATAATTCATTGAATATTAAAAGCTTCCCTAAACAGGGCTGCCTTCAGATGTCTTCTAAAAGTCATATAGTTGTTAATTTCTTTGACAACTGATGGGAGGGCGTTCCACAGGGGGGCACCACTACCAAGAAGGCCCTCTGCCTGGTTCCCTGTAACTTCACTTTTCGCAGTGAGGGAACAGCCAGAAGGCCCTCGGCGCTGGATCTCAGTGTCCGGGCAGAACAATGGGGGTGGAGACGTTCCTTCAGGTATACTGGACCGAGGCCATTTAGGGCTTTAAAGGTCAGCACCAAGACTTGGAGAACCTGCATAGAGAACCTGATTGCCTTCAGTTTTGTTCAGTTGACCAAGAGTCGATGATTTTGCCTTCCCAGGTGCTGAAGCAGAGGCCTCGATTTGTTGCCTTGAAGAAACAGCCATCTTACATTGGTGGTGAGAACCTGGAGCTCCGAGACTACCAGCTGGAAGGCCTCAATTGGCTGGCTCACTCATGGTGCAAGTAGGTGAAAGGAAGTTGGCTGGAGGGATGATCGGGTTTGAACTTGAGAGTGAAGTCAAGCTTTTTGGGAACTCTTTTCCTTGGCTTTCCCCAGTGTTGTTCAACCTGGGCTGGTGGTGGTGGTTCACCTGCAAATCACAGGCATCCTCTGTTGTCATCAGAACAGAGGGGGGCTGCTTTATCCTAAGTCAGACCTTTGGTCCATTTAGCTCAGCATTGTCTACACTGACTGGCAGCATCTCTCTGGGTTTCAGAACAGTGTGTGTATGTCTTTCCCAGCCGTTATCTGAAAATGCCATGGATTGAACTTGGGACCTTCTGCATGCAGAACAAATGCTTTGTCACGGAGCTACAGCCCAAAGCCCAGATTTGGGATGTGTTCCTATCCATGCCTTTGGTCCACTTAAGTTCACCTTTTGTTGTGCCCCTGGCATGTGGCCCCTGGGAGGTTAGCTATGAAGGAATGTGGCCCTCCAGATAAAAAAGATCCCCCACCCCTGGTGTAGACAAATGCTGAGCTAGATAGTCAGCTTCCTTTGCGATTACTCTTCTGAAGCATGTACATTTCTGAAAAAGCTACTGCTTCTGTATATTCAGTAATTGGGGCCCATTTTTATTTTTTTTAAATAGTTGCCCACTGAGCAGAGTTGATATTTTTTGGATATAATCGTTGTGGATGGGAAGTGTCTGCCATTTCCTGAGCTCTTTGCAGGATAGTTTGGATAAAAAAAGCAATTAATAAACGAACTAGAAGGAGATTTTGACCTGTGCTGACAACATTATATAGTTGTTAAAAGGTTTTTTAAAAAAAAAGTTAGCATGAGACATGCTCTTAAAGGGAGATGCCCTCTTCCCCCAAATCTGTAATACTAATGTACTGTTTCTACTATTTTGATCTAATGAGAAACTCAGACTATTCCCAAAAGAATGTTCTTAAGGTGCTTTGCATTTTTGCAATGCAATCTTTAATATAACTTTGTGGAGGTCTTGAAGCCTCACCAGGACCCTGCTCAAATCTCTTCCCTCCCACTTCCCCTTTCCTGGAAAGCAAGAAATGGCCCCTTTGGCTATTGGCTTGGTCAATAGGAATCAGTTGGTGGATTCATTGCAGATTCTTTTACGCTGCTACTCACATGTGCAAGATTCTTGCGGTATCTACACAATGTTGTCCTCATCAAAATGTTTCTGCAGAGTTGGGTTAAAACAAAACAAAAACCCTTTCTGTATTTTCCACAAAAACGGTAAATCTGAATTAAAAGAGGAAAATAAGTAGGACAATGTTTTGATTAGGATGACATGCATGAAGAAGCAGCATAAACCTTCTGGCATATACCAGAAATGTGTTGGAAATGTGAGCTGACCAGTGAGTCATGGGCATTGATCGTTTCCTCCTCTCCTGTGTCCTTTCAGGAGCAACAGCGTCATCCTGGCAGATGAGATGGGCTTAGGGAAGACCATCCAGACCATCTCTTTCCTCTCCTACCTCTTCCATCAGCACCAGCTGTACGGCCCCTTCGTGATCGTGGTGCCCTTGTCGACGCTGACCTCGTGGCAGAGGGAGTTTGAGATCTGGGCCCCGGAGATCAATGTGGTCGTCTATATCGGAGATCAGATGAGCAGGAACGCTGTAAGCTACAGCCCAAGAAGCTGGGTTAACAGAGAACGTGCAAATGGGATCGTATCTCGGGGTGGGTTTTGCAAACACAGGGTCAAAAAAACTCAGCATTCCTGAAGGACTGGGCTGCCAGTGCATTGAACAGATAATTACTTTTGTAAAAACTGTTTCATGTCAATGTGTTTGGCTTTTCTAAAGAAGTAGTAATGCAAAGTGAATGTTGAATCTTCCTTCCCAAGGCAAGCCTATATTGACTGTGCAATCATTATTTCTCTTTTCTCCTTATTTGTATTCTCCTTATTTGTAAGAAAGTGCTGAAACCCCACTAGAAATCTTGGCATGCATTCAAATGTGGGGAATATTGCATTAGTTTTCCTCACTACCGTATTGGCCTGAATATAAGCCACACCTGCAAATAAGCTGCACCTTATTTCATGGGGGGAAAAGAAAAAAAGACAACAACCTGAATATAAGCCGCTCCCTTAAAATTGGGTTACAGGCTGAAAATTGCTGTGGTTGGTAGAATTGTAACTCCAAGCCAATTTTAAGCCTTTGATCTTGCAAACCCGCAAAAGTTATCGTACAATCTCTAAAATCGCAAATCGCTATTCAATTGCTACAATTCCACAGGCACACACACCCTTAAATGGCAAATGTAGAAGAAAATCCTATGGGTTAATTGCACAAGAGTCTCAAGCTCGCAAACCGGCAATAAAACATTTTTTTTCTTCCATTTTACCGTATATCTGCTTCAGGAGTGATATCATAAAAGCCCGTTTTTGTAAGGTCACGAATTTAAGCTGCACTTTAACTTCACGGTTGGAATTTGGAAGGAAAAAAGTGTGGCTTATATTCGGGCTAATTTGGTATCATGCTTGCACTGCTTTTCTTTCACACGGATGGAGCAGCTGCTTTGCATGTAGAAGGTCCCAGGTCCAATCCTTGGCCTCCCTGGGTAGAGCTAGGAAAGACCCCCGTCTAAGAATGTGCCTTGCAGATGAAGCTCATGCCTGAACTTTTGCCTCCTCTTCAGATCCGTGAGTATGAGTGGATCCACGCGCAGACCAAGCGGTTGAAGTTCAACGTGCTCATCACAACATACGAGATTCTCCTGAAGGACAAGGTGATTGCGTAGGCGAGGGCAGGACTGTTGCCTTTCTCCTTGGAAATGGGCACTCCTTCATACCACTGGTGACAAGAACCTCCTCCTTGTTTTCATTGGCTCTCCTCTTGCAAAACGTCTGTGTTCAATGGTACATCTTCAGCTTAAAAACAGGGCATGTTAAATGAATCGCGGAGCAAGGATTTTAACCTGGGTCTTGCAGGCCACAAGGGACTCTGATTTGTTAGCACAGCTTCCTTCTCTCCATGCAGCTCCTTCCTGGGTTGCAATACTTGGGGGGCCAAGTACCCTCTGTAAAAAGCAGCTTGCTTGCTTTGTGTCCCTCAAGGCACCATGAGGTAGCCATAGATCTCCTCCTTGCTCCCAGAGACACAGCACTTAAGTTTTGCCCTGCTCTGAAGTTGCCATTCAGGCATGGAGGATAAGGCAGCTAGCCACGATGGCTCTGCTCTGCTCCTGCCGTCAGAGGCAGTACAGTTCTGAATATGCTGGAAGGGGAGAGAGTGCTCATGTGCTTAAGGGTATCCAGCTTTCCTGAAATGGGAAGGGGGCCAGGTCTCAGCCGCAGAGAAGATGAGTTACATGCAGAAAATCCCCAGCTCAATTCCTGGTATTTCCAGTTAAAAATACAAGCTGGTTGCAGGAGATGGGAAAGTTCTCCTTCTGCCCAAGACTACAAGGAGCTGCTACCAGTCAGAGTAGACAATTCAGAGCAGGATAGAACTGCTGTTGATATGTGGGCAGAGTGTGTAGCCTAGAACTTCCCCCAGAATCCTCTGCAACACACTCTGGCCCCACCTGCATTATAAAGCAGTATCCTATCCCTTTAAACAGTCAGGACTCCCCCCCCTAAAACACCCTGGGAACTGTAGTCTGTTAAGGGTGCTGAGAGTTGTTAGGAGACCCCTGGTCCCCCCACAGAGCTACAGTTCTCAAGAGTTTCCTGGGAAGAGTGACTGATGGCTAAACCGTTCTGGGAATTGTAGCTCTGTGAGGATAGTACGGGTTGCCTCACAATTCTCAGCACGAACTACAGCTCCCATGATTCTTTGGGGGAAGCTGTGGCTGTTTAAAGTGGTATCATAGTGCTTTAAATGGAGACGGGGCCTGCAATTTTCTGTGCAGGGTTCCTTTGGCAGATGTAGAAAAGAGCTTGCCGGAAGAGCTAGTAGGTTTGAAAAAGACCTTGTTGATGTGTTGCTCTAGACCGTTCTGGGGAGCATTAACTGGGCCTTCTTGGGTGTGGATGAAGCGCATCGCTTGAAGAACGACGACTCCTTGCTGTACAAGACGTTGATCGACTTCAAGTCGAACCATCGGCTGCTCATCACTGGGACGCCCCTTCAGAATTCTCTCAAAGAGCTCTGGTCCCTGCTGCATTTTATCATGCCGGAGAAGTAAGCCTCCTTACTATGCATCAAAAGTTACACCTGCCTCCAGGGCAAATGGAGCACAAAGGGCGCAGAGCGGTGGGAGCATGAGAGTTTGGAAGAAACTGTGGGGGTATGTGTGTGTTATGAGATACTGCAGAGGGAGCCACCAAAAGTGCAGGGATGGGTTTTCTGAGCAGTCTCTTAAGCCTTCCTTCCTTTGTTCCTTTTTTGGAAAGGGCTCCTAGACCCTAAAGTCAAAAGTGAACTTGCATGCTTCTAATCCTTAATGCAGCAAAAGTTGGCTTGAAAGGACATTGCCAGTGGCAGCTTTTAACGTGGCTGGGCAGAGAGCTCCGTACCGGGCTGGGGGCTCTGTACAGAGTTCCTTGCCCCCTGCCCCCCATGTTTAGCAGCAGAAGAAAAATAGAGAATAGGGTAAAAAAGAGAGAGATGCAAATGTACTCAACAGAGCTCCAGTTCATCCAAGCACAGAAAATGACAAAGAGGTTTGTGGCTGAGTGTGAGTGCATGCATGGACATGGGTGAGTGTGTGAGCATGTGCCCAAGTGAGTGTGAATCCAAGTGTGTGTGCCTGTGAGTATGAGCGTGCATATATGTGAGTGTGCAGACTCTGGGAGAATGCCCAGCACCTGCCCCTTTCATCTCCACCCTGCAGCCTCTTTCCTTCCTTGCCAACACAAAGTGAGAATCTGCTGCAGATGGTTTTGAAAGCAATTCTGTTCTGAACCTGCAAACTAGTGCAGAATTTGGGTAGCCTTTGATATTTTTTGAGGGTGGGTGGGTCAGAAAGAGGAGGAAGAGGGAGTCCTGTCAGCTCATCTCCACCGCCCCTTTTTTGTGCCCTGTTCTCACTGTCAGGTTTGAGTTGTGGGAAGATTTTGAAGACGACCATGGGAAAGGGCGCGAGAATGGCTACCAGGGCCTCCACAAAGTATTGGAGCCATTCCTCCTGCGCAGAGTGAAGAAAGACGTGGAGAAGTCCCTCCCTGCCAAAGTGGAACAGATCCTGCGGGTGGAGATGTCTGCCTTGCAGAAACAGTATTACAAGTAGGTGTCTGGTGTCATGGCCAGGACTTCCCAGAGGCTGTGCTGCAAGAAAGATTCTCAGTACACCTCAATGCACCATGGGGAATAAGATTATTAGATAAAGGCGCCTGTGAGCCCCAATATCACCCCACAACCCGAAGAGGTTGCCTGATGTATCTCTGTGTGATTTATCCTTTCCCCATCTCTGCATGTGATTTAGAGTATTTGTTTCCCTCCTGATGAAAAGATAGAGTAGCATTAGCTACCCACAGGAGGTTCTCTCTTGCATCTCTGCATGAGTCACTGCCAGAGTCCTATCCAGGCCAGTGACTCGTATAAGAGCCCAGGAGCCAGGTTCCTCCAATAGTAGTAGTAGTTTTTGCTCCTGGCATCCTCTTTGCCTGCCTGGTCACCCTCCAGATGTTTGGGCCACAAGTTCCACCAGCTTCAGCCACCTGTGGTTCAAACTGTCTGAAGGGCAGCAGGTTGACAGAAGCACAAACACCCTTTCAGCTTTACAAGTGGCCTCCGAGTTTTAATTCAGAACCAATGAGTCCCTCCGCTTTCTAGAAGACACGGGGTTGGTGTAACGTCAGGCTGTTTAAATTGCAAGTGGCAAAAGCTGCATTGTGGATGTCCTTAAATTCCAGGACCATTAGGAAGCAGGGAACACCTTTCATAGTTATAAGTGAAATCTGCAGCAAAATGTTGCAGTATGGAGTTTGCCCGGTCAGCCACACCCTCTTCCAGGATACTCCATTCCATTCTCCCCTGCCCCCTTTTTATCCTCCCAACAGCTCATCAAATTTCTGTGCTCGTGGCACTTTCTCTGTTTTCATAGTTTTCATTTGGAGGGTCCTCCCCCCACCTCAAATACCTTGAGGGTTTTCCTCCTAAATATTATCTTTTGTACTTTTGCAAACTTCCTGGTGATACCTTTGCTTTGATCATGATTGCTACAATTGTGGCTGGATTCAGGACCCATGCTCACATATGGATTCCTTACTTCCCTTGTGCTCGGTCTCTGTGAACTCGCAGCATGCCCACTTGGTTAGGATCGTCTCCCCAAGTCCCCTTGCTAGCCAGCCTTGGAACTAACACAACTGGGAGTTCATGTCTCCTGACGCCCCGTTCCCGGCTTGCTCTGCAGGTGGATTTTAACACGCAACTACAAAGCGCTCTCTAAAGGCACTCGCGGGAGCACGTCCGGCTTCCTGAACATCGTGATGGAGCTGAAGAAGTGTTGCAACCACTGCTATCTGATCAAGGCCCCCGAAGAGAACGAGAGGGAGAACAGGCAGGAGCTGCTGCTGGTGGGTAATGTGGAGGGAGGGAGGGAGGGGGACAGCAAGGAGGGAGCACATTGGCCCATGTGCTGGTTACATAAGCCTGTGGTGCGGCTGCATTCAGAATGCTGCGCGGCTGCTTCACTTCAGCAAGGTCTTGCAGAGTTGGAGAAGGGTCAGAAAAGGGCAAACCAAACAGTCAAGAGCATGGAGCAGCTTTCCACCATGAGGAAAGATTGCCACATTTGGGACTTTTTTTTCTCCAGCTTAAAGACAAGTAAGAGGCAACATGATAGACGTTTATACAATATGCAGCATATAGTTAAACTCTGGAACTCCCTCCCATAGGATGGTCACCAACTTGGATGGCTTTAAAAGAGGACTGGGCAAATCCATGGAGGAGTAGACTTATCAGTGGTACTAGCCATAGCGGCTATGCTCAGCATTCATGCTTCTTACCACAGGGGGGGAGAGTGCTCTTGCACTTGAATCCTGGTTGACTGTTTCCCACAGGCAATCTGTGAGAACAGGATGCTGGACTAAATGGCCCATTGGCTCTTCTTATGTTTCCTGTTGCACACTGCTTCTGGACACCTGCTGTGTTAAATGTGTACAGATGCATAACATTTGTATAGCAGTTTTAAGTGTTTGAAATCCTTCACATGCATTGTCTAGCTGTAATCCAGGGGAGAGCTCCGTAAGGCTCCGTTAGGCTACATTCCAGTAGCCCCACACGACCCAGAGGTTTCCTCACACCTAATTTCTTCACCCAGGCAAGCAGAATCACAGTGCAAGAATGCTTTCCGGCCATGCAGAAGTATTTGAGCAGGATATGTGAGGTCTGTGGCCTGGGGCGAGTCCTAAGGGCCAGGTAGATTTTCTTAGAGGGTCATACTTGGCTCCTGGCTCTTAAGTTCTCCACCCCTGCTGTAAGCTAAGCCACAGCGTTGTCACCCATATTACAGATGGAGACACTGAGGCTAAGACAGATCGGCTTACCTGAATCCCCCCATGTCAGTTCACGGCTGACTAGGCGAGATTCAAACGAGGGATCTTCCTGATTTGTAGGGCTCAGTCCAGGTTGGAAGCGCCATTTGCAAATGACCACCATGTCCCCTTCAGTCTTTAATCAGGAGCAGCGGGAAGCTCATCCTCCTGGACAAACTGCTGAGCAGGCTGCGCGAGAGGGGCAACCGAGTCCTCATCTTCTCCCAGATGGTGAGAATGCTGGACATCTTGGCAGAGTATTTGGCCATCAAGCACTACCCTTTCCAGGTGAGGCTCCCATGGGTGAAACAGGCACAAGCTGCTGGCTTGGTTGGTTCAAAGGGGATGGTCTCAGATAAGCTTCAGATGTGGAAACCAAAGGTGCCTGGGAAGAAAAGAAGGGGATGATGCATTTTGTATTTTTATTATTGAATTTAATAAATTCAATAATTTATTAAATTCCTCCGCCCTTCCTCCACCCTTCCTCCGCAAAGAACCCATGTACTCCTTATGCATCACACATAGGTCTGCAGAGGACTTCCCTCTGATGTTAAGATACTGTGGGCATACAGAGACAGTGTACAGTTTTCTGAGAATCTTGGCTTTTATTTCGAAGCAGGTTTCTAGTCCTTATGGTGTTCAGGGGGCACATCTCAGCCCGGCAAAGGTACTTTTTAACTAGAGACGTTTGCTGGTTTGGCCTGGGACTTCATCCAGTGAAGCTGAATGTTGGAATATTCAGGGTGGATAGAAGAAAGTCATTCTTCATGCAGCGCATCATTAAACTATGGAACTCACCCCCACTGGAGGCAGTGATCAGATGGCTTTAAAAGAGGATTGGACAAATGCATGGAGGAGAAGGCTATCAATGACTACTAATCGCAAGGGCTGTGCTCTGCTTCCATGGTCAGGGGCAGTAATGCTTCTGAATACCAGAAGCCACAGGGCGGAGAGTTCTCTTGGCCTTGGGTCCTGCTTCCCACAGCCATCTGGTTGGCCACTGTGAGAACAGGATGCTGGACTAGATGGGCCTCGGGTCTGATCCAGCAGGCTCTTCTTACATCCTTATGGGACCCTCTGCATGGAAATCTGCCGCTGAGCTTTGCTCTTTCCACGTGGCCTCTTGTGTCTTATGCCTCCTCATGTATTTTTTTTTAAATAAGCGCTTCCACAAGCAGTTCCTGGCTCAGGGCTTGTAATGGGAGCTGCGGAGTCACCTGGTGCCTGTTGAGGCTTCCCGGGCACCGTCCCCTGTGGCAACAAGGTTATTTTTAATCAGTGTTATTTTTAAAGTGTTGCCTTGCTCCAAGCTGGTAGAAGCTGGACAGGGATTTGAGTTTCTGAACCATCCACTGCAGCAGTACCCAGGGTATTGTTTGTTTTTGTGTGAGTGTGTGTAAGTGTGTAAAATAAGTGATTCCACCAGTGTCCTTTGATTCAATCACTGTCGTTCTTTGCAGCGCCTGGACGGCTCAATCAAAGGCGAGATCCGAAAGCAGGCGCTGGATCACTTCAATGCTGACGGCTCAGAGGTAATGATCATTGTGACCTGCCCATTCAGAGGGAGGGCAGCAGCTGGCGGGGTCTTCTGAGGGGAGGCAGCGAGTACCACAAGAAAGGGGATATCATATTTAGCATCTTTATCAGCCATTCGTCGCTGATAAAGATGGTGGATTACACCAAAATGGCGAAAATGACCGGGAATATCAGAAACCAGGAAGACAGAAACTTTAACAAGGAATGGGGACAATTTATAAGCTTATTGAAGAGAACACTGTAAACAACTAAAAATCTTTGGCGGGATTATAGTAACACTTGTAATGTATGAAAAACTGAGGTAAAAATTGATTTTTAAGATAAATGGAGAAACTATAAGATGCAATATAAAAAAGTTTGACAATGGAAACCATGGAGACGTGCGTGGAGGGAAGCCTAAGAGTTCAGGGACTACTATGTGATTATGATTAATGTTTAAATTCAAATGTATATTGTAAAACTGAATAAAAAAAATTAAAAGGAAGAAAAAAAGAAAGGGGATATTGTTGCAAACATTCTGCAAAGATTTTTTGGGGGGATTGAAACTTTTCCTTTCTATCCAAGCTTTGTCCCTTGCTAGCCAGCCAGATCTCTTTTTCAGAAACATCTCTGTGCATAAATCTGCCCTCTAGTTCCCCAAAGGTTTTCCCTCCAAACGAATATGTGTGTCTATGTGTGTGGTTATTGTATTGCAAATCACTTATTTGGAATGCTTCAGGGAAGCAATTCATGTGCTTAGCACTGAGGCCCTCTTCCCTCCTCCTCAGGACTTCTGTTTCCTCCTGTCCACACGAGCTGGTGGCCTGGGGATTAACTTGGCCTCTGCCGACACGGTGGTCATTTTCGACTCGGACTGGAACCCTCAGAATGACTTGCAGGCTCAGGCCCGGGCTCACCGGATAGGGCAGAAGAAGCAGGTCAGAGAAAGAGCCGAAGCTCTCATGTTGCAGCCATGGATGGGTGGCAGCAGACCCTAAGATTCTGGAACGCCCACAAAGTTCCTGCAGGCTGTTTTCCTGGGTTGTTTTTCTTCGGACATGACAGTTACCTCTTAGTTCTGTGCCAGTTGCTTTCTTCATTCCGTAGGTGGAGAGGGAGACGGAAAGATAGGATTTGAGGTAACACCAGGAGAAAGGGATATTTTCTTCCCTGTTTCAGTCATGGAATCCTATTTGCTATTTTTCTTAAGAGGTTTAATAAGATGCTGTTATTCATTGTTATAGGGACGCGGGTGGCGCTGTGGGTAAAACCTCAGTGCTTAGGACTTGCTGATTGTAAGGTCGGCGGTTCGAATCCCCGTGACAGGGTGAGCTCCCGTCGTTCGGTCCCAGCTCCTGCCAACATAGCATTTCGAAAGCACCCCTAAGTGCAAGTATATAAATAGGGACCGCTTTATAGCGGGAAGGTAAACGGCATTTCCGTGTGCGGCGCTGGTGCTGGCTCGCCAGATGCAGCTTCGTCACGCTGGCCACGTGACCTGGAAGTGTCTTCGGACAGTGCCAGCTCCCGGCCTCTTGAGCGAGATGAGCGCACAACCCTAGAGTCGGTCACGACTGGCCCTGACGGGCAGGGGTACCTTTACCTTTACCTTATTCATTGTTATTATTTAATTTCTATCCTGTCCCTTCTCCCAAGGGTGCCCAGGGCAGCAAACACCTAAAAGTTTAAAAGAGGATCGGACAGATTCATGGAGGAGAATTTTTTTATTGATTTTTAAAAACAACATGAAGACCAATTTAAAAAAACACCATTTGAAAATCATCTAATAACAGTCGTGGCTCTCCCCCAAATAATTAGTTTGTTGGGAGACCCCCCTATTTCTCTCCCAGAGCTATATTCCCAGAGTTTTCTGGGAACAGGGCTTGATTGTTAAACCTCCCTGGAATTGTAGCTCTGTAAAGGGAATAGGGCAGGCATGGCCAAACTTGGCCCTCTAGCTGTTTTGGGACTACAGTTCCCATCATCCCTGACCACTGGTCCTGTTAGCTAGGGATGATGGGAGTTGTAGTCCCAAAACAGCTGGAGGGCCAAGTTTGGCCGTGCCTGGAATAGGGGGTCTCCCAACTACTCTCGGCACCCTTACCAAATACTTTGAGGGAAACCATGACCATTTAAAGTGGTATCGTAGTGGTTTAAATGTATGGTGCAGATGGGAGCCTTTGTAGAGAGGTAATTCCACAGTTCAGACCTCTACTTTAGAAGCAGCCACAGTTGTATAGAGCTCTAAGGCATTAAGGGGAAACAAAACCTCTAAGCTGTTTACGTGTGGCACCTCCTTCGAGCTCCTCTGGCTTGCAGGGCAGGAGTCGGGGGCAAAGTAGTAGCTCATCAAACAGAAGGACCCCTCAGGTTCAGTCTTTGTCATCTTCAGTTAAAAAGATGTTGCGTTTACGGGAGAAAGAAAAGCTTTTGGCTTTCATGCTCTGGGGTAAGAGAGGAACCGTGATCTGACTCTCTGGAAAATGGAGCTTTTATCTGTACCCTTTCCTCCCCCTGCAGGTGAATATTTATCGATTGGTTACGAAGGGGACGGTGGAAGAAGAGATTATCGAAAGAGCCAAGAAGAAGATGGTATTAGACCATCTGGTGATACAGCGCATGGACACCACTGGTCGAACTGTTCTGGACAACAACTCTGGCAGATCCAAGTAAGAGGGATGAGGGAGGATGGGGACAGGTTCTCTTGAGGACTACAGATCCAAACTAACTAGTCTCTCTTGGGTGTATATCAGCCTTCCTTGAGATGCTGCCCTCCAGTAGGTCCAACGTCCACTTCCTTCTTGTTCCCTTGCAGCACAAACCCTTTCAACAAAGAGGAGCTGACGGCCATCTTGAAGTTCGGTGCGGAAGACCTATTCAAAGAGCTGGAAGGGGAAGAGTCTGAGCCACAGGTGAGCCCAGCTGGAAGGGTTTTTTGGTTGGCACACTTTGTTAGAGGTGGTTCCCCCTCTGAAGGTTGTATTCAAAGCTACAGTGGAACCTTGGTTTTCGAACGTCTTCGTCAACGAACATTTCGGTTTTCGAACACCGTAAACCCAGAAGTAAATGCTTCAGTTTTCAGACACGCCTCAGAAGTTGAACTGGAAATGCTGCTTCCGTATTTAGTTTTCTGTTTTGAGGCTTCCATATTGAGTTTCGGTTTTGGAACTTGAATGGTCTTCTGGAACGGATTACGTTCAAAAACCGAGGTGCCACTGTAGTCCTACTCAGACCAGGCCCACAAATCAAATCAAATCAAATCTTTATTCTTATAGGCAATGACCAGTATTCAATAGACCCATGAAAGTTATTAGAGCTAAAAGTTGTGTTAATTAATTTCAGTGGGTTTACTCTGAGCAGGACCATCCCAATGAAAAGGAAATGCAAGAAAGCAAAGTGGCTGTCCAATGAGGCCTTACAAATAGCAGGGGAGAGAAGGCAAGCAAAATGCAAGGGAGATAGTGAAAGATACAGGAAATTGAATGCAGATTTCCAAAAAATAGCAAGGAGAGACAAGAAGGCCTTCTTAAACGAGCAATGCAAAGAAATAGAGGATAACAGAATGGGAAGAACCAGAGATCTGTTCAAGAAAATTGGAGATATGAAAGGAACATTTCGTACAAAGATTACCATAATAAAGGACAAAAGTGGTAAGGACCTAACAGAAGCAGAAGACATCAAGAAGAGGTGGCAAGAATACACAGAGGAATTATACCAGAAAGATATGGATGGCTCGTACACCCCAGGTAGTGTGCTTGCTGACCTTGAGCCAGACATCCTGGAGAGTGAAGTCAAATGGGCCTTAGAAAGCACTGCAAATTACAAGGCCAGTGGAAGTGATGGTATTCCAGCTGAACTATTTAAAATTTTAAAAGATGATGCTGTTAAGGTGCTACACTCAATATGCCAGCAAGTTTGGAAAACTCAGCAGTGGCCAGAGGACTGGAGAAGATCAGTCTACATCCCAATCCCAAAGAAGGGTAGTGCCAAAGAATGCTCCAACTACCGCACAATTGCACTCATTTCACACGCTAGCAAGGTTATGCTTAAAATTCTACAAGGCAGGCTTAAGCAGTATGTGGACCGAGAACTCCCAGAAGTGCAAGCTGGATTTAGAAGAGGCAGAGGAACCAGAGACCAAATTGCAAACATGCACTGGATTATGGAGAAAGCTAGAGAGTTCCAGAAAGACATCTATTTCTGCTTCATTGACTATGCAAAAGCCTTTGACTGTGTCGACCACAGCAAACTATGGCAAGTTCTTAAAGAAATGGGAGTGCCTGATCACCTCATCTGTCTCCTGAGAAATCTCTATGTGGGACAAGAAGCTACAGTTAGAACTGGATATGGAACAACTGATTGGTTCAAAATTGGTAAAGGAGTACGACAAGGCTGTATATTGTCTCCCTGCTTATTCAACTTATATGCAGAATTCATCATGCGAAAGGCTGGGCTGGATGAATCCCTAGCTGGAATTAAGATTGCCGGAAGAAATATCAACAACCTCAGATATGCAGATGACACAGCCTTGATGGCAGAAAGTGAGGAGGAATTAAAGAACCTTTTATTGAGGGTGAAAGAGGAGAGTGCAAAATATGGTCTGAAACTCAACATCAAAAAAACGAAGATCATGGCCACTGGTCCCATCACCTCCTGGCAAATAGAAGGGGAAGAGATGGAGGGAGGGAGAGATTTTACTTTCTTGGGCTCCATGATCACTGCAGATGGTGACAGCAGCCACAAAATTAAAAGACGCCTGCTTCTTGGGAGAAAAGCAATGACAAACCTAGACAGCATCTTAAAAAGTAGAGACATGACCTTGCCAACAAAGGTCCGTATAGTAAAAGCTATGGTTTTCCCAGTAGTGATGTATGGAAGTGAAAGCTGGACCATAAAGAAGGCTGATCGCCAAAGAATTGATGCTTTTGAATTATGGTGCTGGAGGAGACTCTTGAGAGTCCCATGGACTGCAAGAAGATCAAACCTATCCAATCAGCCCTGAGTGCTCACATGAAGGACAGATCATGAAGCTGAGGCTCGAATATTTTGGCCACCTCATGAGAAGAGAAGACTCCCTGGAATAGACCCTGATGTTGGGAAAGATGGAGGGCACAAGGAGAAGGGGACGACAGAGGACGAGATGGTTGGATAGTGTTCTCGAAGCTACCAGCATGAGTTTGACCAAACTGTGGGAGGCAGTGGAAGACAGGAGTGCCTGGCGTGCTCTGGTCCATGGGGTCACGAAGAGTCGGACACGACTAAACGACTAAACAACAACAACAACACTGAGCAGGATTAATTTTTGATACCAGCTTGTATGTTTGATACCAACAGAGGTGAACAACCCCATACCAGTTCCCAAGCTGGTGTCCCACAAGGAATAAATTGATTTCATTCTTTATTCTTTCATTTATAGGATTCCTTACCTACCCCTTTCACCACAATGTCCCAGGACAGGTTACGACGATATTATAATACAGTTATAAAATGAAATAAATCAGTTTATGATTGTAAAACTAGCAAGACCATTATAAATGGAACAGGGGACTTTAAATTCAACAAAAGGAAGTGGATCCCCCAAAACAAAATACCTTAACTTCCAAGGGGCAGGGTAAAAGAGGTGTGTCTTCAGCACTGGGTGGAAGCTGTGGAACGATGATGTCAGGCATTGTGGGGAGGGAGTTCTAGAACTGAGGGGCCATCACAGAGAAATCCCTCTCCTGGGCTACAACTGCCAACACTTCTGAAGGTGACGGAGCGACACTTAGGTACTCCTCTGCCGGTACCCTGGGAGGGCCTGTAGGCAGGGATGGAGACAACTTTTCAGATATTTGGGGCCTTAGTAGTAGTTGCTCTGTGAGCAATGCAGAAAATTATTTGTTGTGAATCTTAATGCAGTGTTGAAAGGGGCACACTCCTCTACAGTCGTACCTTGGTTGCCAAACGCCTTGGAACTCGTACGTTTCGGCTCCCGAATGATCGAAAACCGGAAGTGAGTGTTCTGGTTTTCGAACGATTTTCAGAAACCGAACATCCGATGTGGCTTCCAATTGGCTGCAGGGCGCTCCTGCAGCCAATCGGAAGCTGTGCCTTGGTTTTTGAACAGTTCTGGGAGTTCAACGGACTCCCGGAACACATTCTGTTCGAGAACCAAGGTACAACTGTACTTTTGAAAGAAGCAAAAAACCCGGGTGTCTTTGCTTTTAGAAAGTTTGGGAAATGCTGGACTACGCTATCTGGTCTCCTTCCATCTCTCTGAGCACACTTCTCTCTCCCCCCCCCCACTGAGTTCATTCTTACTCAGTATTCGGTTATTGCAGATTCTGATTCCCTCCTGTCTTCCCCACCCCTTCCAGGAAATGGACATTGAGGAAATTTTGCGCTTGGCCGAAACCCGAGAGAACGAAGCATCCACGAGTGCCACAGATGAACTTCTGTCTCAGTTCAAGGTATGGACCTGTGTGGGTGGAGCATAAAACAACGTTAGCATGTTTTCAGTTATTTTATATTGAATTTATATTGCAGCCTTCCTCCCCAAGGAACCTAGGGGCAGAGGATAAGACAATTTAAAAATGAAATGAGAGCATTCTCAAATAGGAATATGACCAACCCTGTGAAGATGTGATGGTTTCAGATCTTACAAGAAGTACCAGCACAGATGGCAGATAATTTTGCCAGTGGCTGTAGAGCAATTGTGTCCAAACTTTGTCCCCACCTTACTCCGGAAAAATTCCTGCAGACACTCATGATTGTGACCCGGGTTCAAACTCCTTCACGGTCCTGGTGGCCTTGGAGAAGGCATGCACTTGCAGCCTCAGTTTCCCTTCGTCTTAGCTGGTTCCTTCTCACACGGTGTCATTGTGAGGAGACACACACACACACACACACAGAACATGGGATCGGTTCGAAATATTTTTTAACCTGGTGATGAGGAATGAAACCTGGCGGGTGTTTTATCCTTTTGTAGGTGGCCAACTTTGCAACGATGGAGGAGGAGGAAGCCGAGCTTGAGGAGAAGTCTCAGAAGGACTGGGACGATATCATCCCAGAGGAGCAGAGGAAGAAGGTGGAGGAGGAGGAGCGGCAGAAGGAACTAGAGGAGATCTACATGCTTCCCAGAATCCGCAGCTCGGCTAAAAAGGTATGGCCAGGGCAGGGCGTGTCCTCCTCAAGTTGAACCCAGACCAACCACTGCCAAGAATGTAAGAAGAGCCCAACTCATTCAGGCCAAAAGTCCATCTAGTCCTCCTGCGGCCACTTTGGTGCCTTTGGGAAGCCCGCGTGCAGGAGCTGAGTGCAGCAACACTCTTCTTTTCTACATTTAAGGCATTCACACAGAGCCTGCTGCTTCAGTGAGGGACATACAGCATTTATTATTTCCTTTGTGCCCTCTTCACAATGTGGGGCGCTTGATAGGGGGACGTAACCAAAGGCAGGTGCTTGCCCCCAAAGGGTTTACATTATACCGTATTTTTCATTCTATAGGACGCACCCGACCATAGGACACACCTTGTTTTAGAGGGGGAGAACAAGAAAAAATAATTCTCCCCCTCTCTGCTCAGCGCCCCTTCAGCGAAGCGGCAGGAGAAACGGAGCCCCTTCCATTTCTCCTCCTGCTTCACTGATGGGGCGCTGTGCAGCTCTCCCTCTCTGCTGAAGCCAGGAGAGTCTTCCTCTCCCAGCTTCAGCAAAAGGAACCTGAAGCCTCCAGAAAGCAGCGGGAACTCGCGCTGCGCTCCGAAGGCTTCGCGTTGCTATCACTGAAACCAAGGAGCCTGCATTTGCTCCATAGGACACACACACACATTTCCCCTTAATTTTTGGAGGGGGAAAAGTGCATCCTGTAGAGCGAAAAATATGGTAAATTTAGGAAGTCGGGGACGTCGGAGGCTGAGCTTAGGAGGTGTGAGAGAGGGCAATGCAGGATTGGAGACTGCAGAGTGGGTTAAACGGGTCCCTTGCAGATTTCAGTTTCCCCTCTTGCAACCTCTGCTTTTTGAAATGCAAAGCAGGGCCCCTTGTTGGGAAGGAACATAGGAGGCTGACATACATTGAGCCAGACCATCGAGCTCAGTATCACCTACCCTGGCTGGTAGCTGCTCTCCAGGGGTTCAGACTGATCTCTCCGAGCCTTGCCTAGAGATGCTGGGGATTGCACCTGGGGTCTTCTGCCTGCAAAGCAGATGCTTTACCACTGAGCTGTGGTCCCGGCCCTTTAAGGATTAAGTTTCCACTCCTCATGGTTTAGAACAGGGGTCTGCAACCCGCGGCTCCGGAGCCGCATGTGGCTCTTTTACACCTTTGCCGCGGCTCCGGGGCGGATACTAGCGAGGGGAGGAGGCGCATTGTGCACCCCGACACTCCCCACTGTGGTGGGCGCTGTACTGGCTGTGACATCACATGGGGGCGGTGCGTGCGTTAGTCACGCACCGTCCCAACGTCACCTTCCCGCCCGCCCGCTACCTTGTAAGGGGCATGTACGCTGGTCACTGTTTTGAAGGGGAGTGAAGAACACACACACACAAAAAGGTAACTTGTTAATTTAACGTTTATTTCTATGAGGAGGAGTAATTCTGAGGGGTCAAACAAAGAAATAATAAAAAAGTGACAAAAAGGTTATTTTTATAATGACGAGTTTTGCGGCTCCCAGTTTTTTTTTCTTCAGAAACGGGTTCAAGTGGCTCTTTTTGTCTTAAAGGTTGCAGACCCCTGGTTTAGAATAAAGGGCTGATTTGAATAGCAGGAAAGGAAGCTGCCTTAAACCGAGTCAGACTACTAGCTCAGTATTTTCTACACTGGTCCAAGCTCTCCAGGGTTTCAGGCAGGCGGCAGTCCCAGCCCTAGCTGGTCTCAAACCTGGGACCTTCGGCATGCAAGCAGATGCTTACCACTGAACAATGGCCCTTCCTGAACAAGTGGATCTGTTTTTATAGGCGATAGCTGGCACATCAAAGCTCCAGCAGTACGCTGGAAGCCTTTCACCCTCCTCCTCTGCCAAAATATCTGGGGCATCCTGAAGTGATGAGAGCTCGGGGGCTAAGATACCTCCTGCTGCAAGCAAGCAGCCTGGCTAATCTGTTGTCCTTTCTGCCCCCATAGGCTCAGGCCAATGACAGTGATTCGGATGTTGAGATGAAGAAAAAGCTGCAGGGGTCGTCCGGCTCGGAGAGCGAGACGGAGGACTCAGACGATGATAAAAGACCCAAACGAAGAGGGCGGCCCCGCAGCGTCCGGAAGGACATGGTGGAAGGCTTCACGGACACGGAAATCAGGAGGTCAGCACTGATGCCTGATGGGGTTTCATCTGCGTTTATTCCTCCCCCTGCCCAGGAGTCTTGAGCAGGCTCCGATACTTCTTAAACTCATTTTCATTTAAGCGAAAAAGCCCTTTTTTTCCAATTCAGAATTACTTTATTTACCTGGCAGCTATTCTCCCCCCCCCCCCCACGCAGCCAGCAAAGCTTTGTGATAACGCTTGGAATTCCAGGGAGATTGTGGTACTCTTGGGATGGTGGCACAATCAGGATTTGGGAGCTGGAGTTAGCAGCATCTCCCTGACTGCCTTTTGCCATAGTTCGGTGACCAGCTCCACAGAACAAGTTTATTCAAGTAAGAATGCACTTGCTGGAACTCTTTTGACAGCTGTTGCCCCATTTTTTTGTTTGAATCCCGCAGGTTTATCAAGGCCTACAAAAAGTTTGGAGTTCCCCTGGAACGGTAAGTGCTGATCTATTTAGTTGGGGGTGCCAGGGATTACACGGAGGGTACTGTTACTATTTTTTATTTTACTGGATTTTTCATCATGGCTTTCCTCCCCGAGAAGCCCAGGGCAGCAAACAATACATTTTTAAAACAAAAACATTACAAAACAGATAAAAAACATTTAAAAACATGTTAAAACAATTAGAAACATTCATTTTTTTTCTTATACGTCACCTTGATATATATTTTTTACGATAATAGCATTATATAAATCTATTTTATAAATGATAAAGAACAGCAATTACAGTTTAAAAACATTCTACCATCCAATGATCTTGAGGCTGCCACAACATTTGTGGGCCACCAAATTTCTGGGTAGACTGGAATGTTTTCCAATTCTGCCTGAGAGTTGATAATGATGGAGGCAGACATACCACGCTAAGGAGGGTAATTCCCAAAGTTCCCTGGGAAGAAGCATTGATTCTTTAAACCACTCTGGGAATTGTCATACTGTGATGAGAATGGGGGTTTCCTCACAATCCTCCGCACCCTTAACAAACTACAGCTCCCAGGATTCTTTGGGGGAAGGCTGTAGGATGTGGCATTTCATTTCATTATTTCATTTTTATTGATTTATCAATAGACATGTGGTACAGACTAACACATGATACAAACCATAACAGAACGATACACGGAGCATATTCAGTATATAAGTCAAATTAAAGAGATGCAATTAAATATAGCCAGTTTCTTAAGATGTGTCTACGTAGCCCAGGAGTGAGTCATAGGAGGAGTACATCTATGGCTCTCCCTAGTTACACACACACACACACACACACACACACACACATATATATATATATAGAGAGAGAGTGTGGAGACCTATCTGCATCAAAACCGTCTGATTTGGCTCTGCCCCAGACTACACGTCTATGTCTGACCAGATGTTCAGATAAAATCACATCCCATACATTGATAAACGATGCCTCTGGCAGAGGAACTGTTGATGAGTTCCAGTGTGGCACTGGGTTATGAACTATCTGCTGCCACGAGGGAGCTGCGTTTCCATTCACTTCATTGTCCTCTTCTCCCTCCTCCAGGCTGGAGTGCATTGCCCGAGATGCGGAGCTGGTAGACAAATCGGTGGCCGACCTCAAACGCCTCGGGGAGCTTCTTCACAACAGCTGCGTTTCGGCCATGCAGGAGTACGAAGAACACCTGAAAGAGAACCCTGCAGAAAGTAAGTGGAGAAGAGTCTTGCACCCAGGAAAAAGGGATTGGTTAAAGCACTTGGATCCTCATTCTTTTCAGATAAGCAACTCACCCCTTCCCCCCTGTTGTTTGTAGGTGAAGCATCTGTGGCTCTTTTTTCCAGACAAAGGACCAGGGAAGAGAAGAGGCCCCACCATTAAGATTTCTGGCGTCCAGGTGAACGTGAAAGCCATCATTCAGCACGAAGAGGAGTTTGCAATGCTGCACAAGACCATCCCAACGGACCCGGAGGAGAGGGCAAGGTGAGTCTGAAGCTTCCTGGGGACGCAGGGAAGAAGAGCGCAAGGAGGTGAGAGTTGGCGTAGAGCAGTGGCAAGAGAGGTCTGACTTTCAGCTGCTTTCCAGATTGCAGCTTTGGTTTATCTGTAAATTAATGGGACTCACTGAGCTTCTGGCTCACCCCTTCATCTTCAGACTCCCAGCTGACTTTCCTTTCTTGAATGAGGTAGGCAGAAGAGAATATTCACGAGGGAGCCCTCGGCGGTCCAGAATGAAGTCCTGCCTCGCAGAAGGGGTGTTCATCGCATGTTACATTCAAACCAGTGTACGACCTCTGGACACATCTAGTTGGGGTGCACAAACAGTTGAGCTGTAGACTTGTGGTTATTTGCATGTAACATTCGATGTATCTAGCTGTGTACACACCATAGTGGAGCTGTGCTCAACAAGTGTACACTCTTTTCACACACCAACACTTGTACATGTGTAGAGAAAGCTTGCACCTCAGTGTAATGGGTGAAGAAGCCTAAAACACTGGAAAGTTTAGGTGAGAAAGACACAAATTTGTGCCTTTACTCTCTCTCCCAGTCCCCCTTCCGTTGCAGACCTTTAGAGGCATAGAAAAAGAACTCTGATGTAAAAAGTGAAGAGAGACAGTGTCGTTCAGTGGTTATAGTGTTGGACCTGGCAGGCCTGTGTTCAAATCCTTTCTCGGCCATGGGTGACCATAGGCCAGCCACCCTTAGCCTAGCTTACCTCACAGGGTTGTTGTGAAGATAAAATGGGGAAGGAGGAAAACCATATATACCATCTTGAGCCAAACAACAAAACCTCTTACCTGCTCTCCCATTAAATTGCAGGTTCTGCCTGACTTGCCGTGTGAAAGCTGCCCATTTTGATGTGGACTGGAGTTTGGAAGATGACTCTCACTTGCTGGTGGGAGTATATGAACATGGCTATGGGAACTGGGAGCTCATCAAATCAGACCCAGAGCTGAAATTAACCAACAAGGTACAAGAAACCTCACATGCAGAGGCCTGGTTTGCATGTATAACACTAAGCCATGGTTAGTTTGGCCAAAGAGTGGTTTGTTTGGCTGTGCAAACTCAGCCAACAGACTAACTGAGGTTTATTTTCTCCCAGCCAAACCACAACGTGAAGCCAAACTGTGGCTTACAAACTGTGACATGTTATGGCTATGGTTTAGTGTTATGTTTGAAACCATAGCCTTGCTTAACCATGGTTTGTTAGGCCACTCCACCCTAGATCCTCACTAAGCTGTTGAGGCAAAGCTAGTTGGAAAATGAAAGCTTCGGAGAAACAAGATGCGCCTTGTTTGCAGGTCTGTGAACATGGTTTGTTGAACGAGCCATAGCTAGAACAAACCATGGCATACTATCATGTGTGAATGCAGGCAGTGCGTGTGTGTCTGCAGCCAAGTGTTTGGCTTCCTCCAAAGATAATTTCAACCCTCCACTGAGCAACCAGCCTTAAATCAAAACAAGTAATGGCAATAATGGGGCAAAACAACATCTCTGGAAGTCTGTTGTGCTCAGGGAAACTGGGTATAAGTTCTGTGGTTCAACTGGCAATGTATTTTGCTGTTGACTACACCCCGCAAGGCTCATGGAAAAGCTGGGCAGAAGAAAAAGAAACATTTATTTATACTCTTAAAGAATGCTGCCTCTTAGAGCAGAAAACACTGCTCTAGTGTTTGGATTACTGATGGATGTCCAATTCACCCCACTTTGAATTCTCAGTCCACTTCCCCATTTTCTTAGTTGTAGCTTTCTGTATCCTATAATTGGAAAGCAGTATATGTGTGGGGGCTCTTGCTGTCAGACCTTTGATGCCCATGTCCTTAAAAACATTCTCCCCCCCCACCCCAGATCCTTCCTGTTGAGACAGACAAGAAGCCTCAGGGGAAGCAGCTCCAGGCGCGAGTCGACTACTTGCTGAAACTACTCAAGAAAGACATGGAGAAAAAGGATGGAACGAAAGAGGTGGAAGAGGTCAGTTCCACCATGGATGAATCGCAGCAGAAAAGGCAGAGTCACTAGACCAGGCCTTGTGCATTTCACACATCTGACTTGGCACTGCAGTAGTGCACAGGTCAGCTTTCTAGTCCCTGTGGAGGCAAATGCATGCTTTGGAAACATACGGATGGGGCTTTGCAAAATCTCTCAAACCAGAGTGAGGGCTGAATAGGACCCCCAGGTCTTTTAAAGCAGCATATGCCAAGCCTGGTGCCCCCAAGTTTGGACCACAGGTCATCAGCCCCAGCCAGCACAAGTGTGTTTCTGTTAACATCAGCATCATGCCGCCTAGGGCTGATGTGAGTCGTAGCCGGTCCAGAACTCACGAAGAGGGGGCACCATGTTAGCAGAATGCGCCGTGTGCTATGAGGCTCTACATCTCGGTCTGTGTGTCATCTGGGAGGGAAGCTTTCCTTGGGAAGTTGCAGTTCTCCTGCTCTTGACTGACTTCTTCTCCTCTCGCCTTAGACCAAGGCGAAAAAGAGGAAGCCCCGCACAAAGAAGGAAAACAAGTCTCTCAAAGGGAGAGATGAGCATGGGAATGAGGTCTCCTCTCCTCGACACTCAGACAACCCCTCAGAAGAAGGAGAGGTCAAGGTAAGCCCAGTTTGGCAGGTCTCCTGTGATTCCACATGCCCACCTGCGCAATATCTGATGTGCAGATTCTATCGTGTTGAATATAATACAGCTGGCAGATGAAGAATCGGAAGTTCTCTTTTTCCTTCCTTCCTTCCTTCCTTCCTTCCTTCCTTCCTTCCTTCCTTCCTTCCTTTCTTTCTTTCTTTCTTTCTTTCTTTCTTTCTTTCATCTCTCTCTCTCTCTCCTTTTCTGGTCTATGTTTTTATTTAGATCAGCCTTTTAGCTTTGATAAAGCAAGTATTTGATATTTTTGTATTCCTTTTAAAATTTATTTCCCCCCCAAAAAAAAAAATCCACCAGGAGCCGGTGGCTAAGATTATGTTTCCCAGATGCCTCACCTCAGGCACAGCCAGCAGAGCCCCTTCCCCTGTTCAGCTTCTGTAGTCTTTCTCCGCTCCCCACAATGATAGCTTTGAAAATCAGTTTAAAAAAAACCAAAAAAAAAAAAAAAACCATAATAGCTGTGCACATTAGCCTCATGTGGATGATCCATGCCATTGCTGTTCCATTCAGATTGCCATTCAGATGGCTTGTATAGACTATAAATTAGCCCTTCAGATGTTTTGGACTACAACTTCCATCATCCACAGGCAGAGGCGTTATCACAGTTCAAGGATTCATTCCAGCTAGGTAGAAGCACTTAAGGGCTGGTGAGGAAGAGAAGGTGGGATAGAGGAGGGGCCTGGGTAGAGTCACTGGGGCCCAATAGAGAGGCGCAGGGGACGAAATTCACTACCACCTAACCTGCAATCCCTCAGCCCTGAAATAAAGGAAATAGGTTTGATTTTTTTTCCCCCTCCCCTTCCTGCTTTTCCCCTTTCCTTGCAGGAGGATGGCTTAGATGGCAGCCCTGTGAGAAAGAAGCAGAAGAAGAAAGAGGACAAAGAAAACAAGATAAAACAGACGGCAAGCAAGAAAGAAAAGGAAGAGGAGAAAGAGAGGAGGAAGACAAAGGGCAAAAGAGAAAAGGTAACGGAGATTGTCTTGCTCCACAAGGAAAAGTCACATAGGAATCAGTTTAGCAACCCTGGGTGAGATACTGAGTAATAATTTCTCATGCAGAACTGTATCAGGAACTCCCTTCTCTGGCTTCAGCCTGGCCTCATCTCTCTCATTTCTCTGTGTGAAATTATTGCAAATGCCGTGCTTTGTTTTTATGTTTGCCATGCCTCGTTTTGTCTTTTCACAGGCCAAAGGCAGCGATGCCAAATCTGCAGGCAAAGGGAAGCGATCTCAGGGCCCCGTCCACATCACAGCTGGGAGTGAGCCCATCCCCATTGGAGAAGAGGAAGAGGATGACTTGGACCAGGAAACCTTCAGCATAGTAAGTATTTCCTCATGGGGTCAGGGAGGAAGGGGTCCCATTCGTCATTCCAGCCCCATGAGGTTTAGACTAGTTGATCTCATCTTTGGGCTTCAGAATTTTTGCAAGCTACTTGATTCAAGTCAGCAGCATGTACCTTTTCATTCATTTATTTGGAAGCATTTTATATACGGCTTTGTATTTCAAGAAACCCTTAAGCAGGGCACAGTAGGCAGTGGTATGAGCAGGTTGGGTTTATGGCGGGTGGTTTGGACTACAACTCCCAGCATGCATTGGCCAGGGCTGATGGGAGCTGTAGTTCAAAACACCTGGAGTGCACCAGCTGTGGAAAATGTTGAAAAGGCAGAATGAATGCTGGAGGTTTTGTCCCATATGTGGTGGCATGAGCACAAATAATCCCGAATTCACAATTTTCAAAAGATGGCTAGGGCTGCCCCCTGTAGGAAGGCGGTAAATAAATCCTCAATAACGTGTAGCTTTGCTCTCTCTGCTGCTCCCCTCCCAGTGCAAAGAGCGGATGAGGCCTGTCAAAAAGGCTTTGAAGCAGCTGGACAAGCCAGACAAGGGACTGACGGTGCAGGAGCAGCTGGAGCACACGCGGAGCTGCCTGCTGAAGATCGGCGACCGCATCTCAGAGTGCCTGAAAGCCTACTCAGACCAGGAGCTCATCAAGCTCTGGAGAAGGTAACGAGCTCCACCTATCTGTCTGCCTGCCTTCCTGCCTGTCAGGTCTTCCACTGCGCTCTCACGCTGGTTAGCTACTGAGGTCAGGTTTAAGGAAGCTGGCTTACAACCTTGGCCCACCTAGCTGTGTATTGTCTACCTTGACTGGCAGCGGGTCTTCAAGGAACACCTGCTCCTGATGCAGAAGGTCCCAGGTTTTATCCCTTGGAGATCTGCTGATCCGTATGGACCATAGATCTGACTTGGTATGATGTAGTTTCTTTGGTCCCTATACCTTTGGGGGAAAGAGCATCCACTTTGTGTGCAGAAATCCCCAGGTTCAATCCCCAGCTATTCCTGGTGGGGCTTGGAAAGGCTGCCTCTCTAAAGCCCTGGAGAGCTGCTGGCGGTCAGTGTGGACAATATTCATTTAGAAGGATCAGTGGTCTGCTTCTTTTATAAAGAAGCTTCCTATTCATTTCATTTATTAGACTTACTAGTTGCTCGTCACCTGAAGGTCTCCAAGCAACTTAACAGCAAGGACAAGATATACAACGCTCCCTGTGCTGTAAGCTACCCTGGCAGAAATGCAATATAGCAAGTGCAAAATGTAGGAAGTCGCCTTATACCGAGTAAGATCATTGGTCCATCTAGCTCAGCATCATCATCTCTAATTGGCAGCAGCTCTCCAGGGTTTCAGGCAGGGGGCATCGTGTCCCTATGTAGAGATGCTGGGCATTGAATCTGGGACCGTCTGCATGCAAAACAGATGCTCTCCCACTGAGCTTTTACATTTCAAAATATTTTGCAAAATATCGGTTGCTTTGGCTTAGAATTTAGATTTAGGGGGGTTTTTTAATGAAGGAATTAACGATACCGGAGTTTAGATAGTAAAAATGTGTTGTAAAACAGCTAATAAAATGGAGTAAAAACACTAAACATCAGGGAAGGGTAGGAAGTCAAGAAGAAACAGGTTTAAAAATGTATAATGTTCTGGAATATTTTTGGAGGTTTAATAAAAATGATTGGGGGGGGGCGGGAAGAATTTAGATTTGTAAGAATAAAAACTATAACATTACTGCCACACACAGCACAGCAGGCCTGGATTTCTTGGGTTATATTTGATTTGAGGTTCTGCATGGCTCAGGCCTTGAATGTACAAAGTAATCCCAAAGAGAAGAGATGCCTCCTGAGCATATGCAGAGTGTGCCTCTCCAGTCTCAGCTGAGTGATCTCCAGATAGACTGCATTCATGTGGAATCGGGGGATGGGGCCTCATCCGGGCTAGACTGATAGAGGAAAGGGGTAAGCAAATTGCTGTTCGGTCAGTTCACTAAAGGGGGGGAAATGAAAAAATGAAATCCATTCGCCTCCTTCCAGGAACCTGTGGATATTTGTGTCCAAGTTCACAGAATTTGACGCGAGAAAGTTGCACAAGTTGTACAAGATGGCTCACAAGAAGCGGTCGCAGGATGAGGAGGTGAGTCTGAAAAACTGAGAGAGGAGTGGGTGGTGGGTGGGAGAGAGAGCGAGAGAGAGAGCACGCTAGGCTCTTGTCACTGAAAGGCAGGATACAAATCTAATTTAAAAACAAATAAGCAAAGGAGATTTGTCCTGTAAAACAGGCTTCGCCAAGCTGGTGTTTTCAAGACGTTTTGGAGTACAACTCTGGACAGCTAGCTCTGTGATGCTGGGGCTGATGGGAGTTGTGGTCTAAAACATCTGGAGGGGGCACCAGGTTGGTGAAGGCTGCTGTAGAAAATAGGCGGTGCCCTTGGGATCCCTTCCACCTCTGTCATTCTGTGATGCACCCTTAGAAACCAGAAGGAGCCTGGGCAAAGCTTTCTTGATTTGGTCTGCAGATGTACAGTATTCTCTTTTGCTCCCAGACACTCTCTGCATCTTTTGCATGGGCTAGCTGGGAGTCAGAAGGCTCAGTAAGGAGACTATAGAGCCAGAAGAGGGCTAGAGCAACGGTCCTGCAAGGAAAAGTTGCAGTTTTGGGGAGGTCATTTGTTTGCTTTGAAAAATAAGGGGAGATATGCTGGATAAGAGGTACATAAAGCTATGTGTGGTTTAGGGCAGTGGGTCCACAAGTGAGTCACAAGGCCGTGTAGGCTTTATCAGCGAACACAGATGGCGTGCTTACCTGCCCATGAATAAAAACTCTGAATAACTTTGTTAAGTACTATAACAATTTCAATGAAGTCCAGATTGATAGGGACGTTAAGTAAACTCTTTGCTTGGAGGCCTCAAGTAATGGCAAAAAAATAGGCAAACCAGCAGCTAAAATGCACCAGATTGATGGATGCCGGAGATGCAAAGTTCAAAATTCACATGACAATCGAATCAATGGGTCGCCATTCTGAGTAAATTTGGACCAGCAGCTCACCGTACTAAAAAAAAGGTTGGGATCCTCTGGTGTGGAGAGATAGTGAGCAGAGGAAGGTTTTTCATTTTTTCTTGTAATACTAGAGCTCCACTGAAGCTGAATGTTGGGAGTTTCAGGACAGACAGAAGAAAGGACTTCCTCATTCAGCAGCTTAGTTAAACTGTGGAACTCACTTGCACAGGAGGCAGATTGGCCACCATCTTGGATGGATTGGGCAAATTTGTGGGTTATCAATGGCTACCAGCAACAATGGCTATGCTCTGCCTCCACAGTTGGGCCGTATGCCTCTGAATACTAGTCTCTGGGGCTCACAGGAGGGGAGATCTACTGTTGCACTGAAGTCCAGCTTTGGGGGTTCCCGTGGAGGCCTCTGGTTGGCTGCTGTGAGAACTGGATGCTGTTCTAGAAGGGCCCCTGGCCTGATCCAGTTCAGGCTCTTCCTATGTTCTCGTGACAAGATTTGTGTGGGAAGGGCCCATTCGCGCTGTCCTCAGGTGACTCAGTCAATGCCAGGAGTCTTTTATTGTGAATTAACTGCCCCCCTCCCCTCGTCATCCTCAGCAGGAACAGAGGAAAAGGGAGGAGGCCCTGGGAGGCAAGAAACCGTTTCGGTCGGAGGCATCTGGGTCCGGCCGAGATTCCGTGATGTCTCAGATACCTCATGGACCTCATGCTCAGAAGCTCCACCAGCCTCCGACGTCGCATCCTTCCCAAATGCACGGGCACCAGCGGGAGAACTACAACAACCCAAACAAGAGGCATTTCAGCAGTGCAGGTCAGAGACCAAGCAGGAGTCCACAAAGAGCCGCCTCTCCTTATTCCTTGGGTAGAACTTCTCTCTTCCTCCAGGGAGCGGGTGGCGCTGTGGTCTTAACCAGTGAGCCTCTTGGGCTTGCCAATCCGAAGGTCGGCAGTTCTAATCTGTGCAATGGGGTGAGCTCCTGTTGCTCTGTCCCAGCTCCTGCCAACTGAGCAGTTCAAAAGCACACCAGTGCAAGTAGATAAATAGGTACCGCTGCGGCGAGAAAGTAAATAGCATTGTCCGTGCGCTCTGGTTTCTGTCATGGTGTTCCGTTGCACCAGATGCGATTTAGCCATGCTGGCCACGTGACCTGGAAAGGTGTCTGTGGACAAATGCCAGCTCCCTCGGCCTGAAAGTGAGATGAGCGCCGCAACCCCATAGTCGCCTTTGACTGGACTTAACTGTCCAGGGGTCCTTTACCTGTAACCTTATACTGCTCATTGCAAAACAAGGCTTATAAGTGCTTCACAAAGTATAAAAGACTATTATACATTTTGGCTTAAGGGTTTGTACGGAGGGACAGGCAGGCTTTGTACAGTCCATTGTGACTGATCTGACCGTGGAGAACCCCCACCGCGCGCATCAGCTTCCAGGGACCCCTAGGGATCCTGTCCTTGCCCATTCAAGGGCGTTTCGTGAAACCGAGTCGAGCCTTCCCCTCCCTTCTGTTTGTGCAGAGCGAGGTGACTGGCAGAGAGACCGCAAATTCAGCTACGGCGGCAACAGCAACCAAGTGTGGGGCGGAGAACGGCATCATCAGTATGAACCGCATTGGTACAAAGAGCACCACTATGGAGACCGCCGGCCGCGTGGCGAGCCTCGTGGTGAACCTCGCAACTACCGGCTGAACAACCCAAGTCGCAAGCGGCCGTATGAGCAGTACAACAGTGATCGAGATCACCGGGGCCACAGGGACTATTATGACAGGTGAGCCACCAGCAGAAGAACTTGGTCGGTTAGCCGATTCCCTGCACTCAGCAACCAGGCCTCTCTAGCTCAGCCCTGAGCTGTTTCATATCCTCCTCGCCCCCAGCACTGGCCACTAGGTGGAGGCCTGCCTTTGTTGAATGAGGTGACAACTTAATTTCTAGCCAGGCCCCAGCATTGAGCAGCGACCTCAGAGTATTCCAAGAAAAATGGGAGAAGCGGGAGTGGAGATGGCCAGTGTTCGCTTATTCATCCCACGTTCAGGACTGAAATCAGTCCAGTAAATGCAATCTGTATTCACTGTTGTTTTTGTTTTCAGTTCACAAACCATACGCAGTTGATTAGCAGTAGTAGGAACAGTTTTGTTTAGCTGTAAGCCAAAAAAGAGAAAAAAGACAGACTTGAGCCACAAGTTTGGCTCTTAATTTCCTGTCAGCCAGTGCAGTAGAGAAACATACAAGGTAACATCGTTTTCCTTGTCTGTCTGCAAAAAGCACATGCGCTCACTTGGTGGAACAACGCCCCCCCCCCCGGTCGCTAAAGACAAACATTAGATTACCCCCCCCTTATGCACTGAATTTCCTTTGCATTGAAACAAGCAGGGTGGAATAACGTCATGATGATGGAATGTATTTGCATAATTAATTATGTAAGTCGCGTAATTTCACCACAGTCAGATAAATAACATGGTTCTGGGCAGAAGACGACTTGCAGTGGACTGGAAGCAGCGCCGCGTGTAGACCATCTCCTGCTCTCAGCTTCCTCCTGTCAATTACTGTGTCTTGAGGAACTTGGGGGGGGGAGTCAGAACACCATTACAGAGTGAGGCCAACTGAGATCAGGGGAAGGCAACTTCCTCTTACCACTGGCTGGAACGCGAAATGTTTTCTTGATTATTTGAATGGGTTGGACATGGTCTTGTTTCGGCAGACATGGAGCCCTCATTTGGACTGTGTCCCTTTTTCTCCCTGCACTTCCCAAAAGAGGCGAGGGGGGAGCTAGTTGGGGACTGCTTTCTCCCATACAAACTGCCCCAGGTCACTATGGTCTGCAGGTGGGTCATTGCATGCGGACATGGGCCTGTGATTTGCTTCTCTCCAAACAAACCAGGTTGAGAAACCAACCTGGTGCCCTGATGGCCTATGGCTCCTGCCAGCCCCGGCCATCTGGGAATGGGATGTTTCCTCAGTCCCCACTTCTGAGCTGACTGCTCTCTGTGCTTGCTTCTGCCTAGGCATCACCATGATTCGAAGCGACGGAGATCAGACGAGTTCCGGTCTCAGAATTACCACCAGCAGGACTTCAGGAGGATGCCTGACCATAGGCCTTCCATGGGCTACCATGGCCAGGGCCCCTCAGACCATTACCGGCCTTTCCACCTGGACAAATCTCCGGATTACAAACAGCTTCTCCCCCCTCCTCACTCCCAAGTCTCGGACCCTCGCTCCCCACCCTCACAGAAATCCCCACACGACACCAAGTCCCCTCTAGATCACCGGTCACCCCTAGACAGGTCATTAGAACAAAAGAACAATCCAGATTATAACTGGAGCAGCCGGAAAACTTAGATTTCATGGTTGGGAGATCAGGCTAGAACCTCATCTGAGGTAATTTGGCCTGAGGTAAAATGGCAGCTGCTGTGGTTCGTAACCAGAGACTCTGAACCTGCTGCTGTTGGGTCCTACATTTGCAGAAGGATCATAAGAGCTGGACCAATCGTGGGGGGGTTGCCTGGATTTCTGCCCCAATCTCTCCTCACATAATCCTGCTGGCCAAATGTTTGGGGAGTTGACTTCCCTTCACTCGAGTGACCTGTTGCGGGGGAAAGGCCAGGCCCACCCTGGGTTTTTGTTTTGTTTTCTGTATCTTGAGGCCTAACTGGTCTCCCATGGACATTTCATGGAACTTGAATCGATGGCTGCCTGAGGCACAGACGGAGGAAAGAGACCTGTATGGCCTCGCTATGGAGATCCAAGTCGTTGGCTGGGATGGAGAATGGGAACGGAGGTGCTGGCCTGTGTGGGTTTGCCCCTCTTGAACGGTGGAGGTTTGGCATAGGGATGAGGGATGGGTGGTGGGGAACAAGTCCCAAGGTGGCTGGCACAGCCTTTCAGTAACAGAACCTGAACATCTCCAACTGTAGGTGCCCGAGACTTGCACATATATATATATGCAAGTCTTGCACATATATATATGCAAGTCTCGGGCGCCTACAGTTGGAGATGTTCAGGTCCTGTTACTGAAAGGCTGCACCATTCATCTCAGGACTTGCTCCTCCCCACTCCTCCCTCACCCCTATGCCAAACCTCCACCGTTCAACAGAGGCAAACCCACAGGTGCCAAGCCTTGCAGGACTTGAACATCTCCACCTGTAGGTGCCCGAGACTTGCATATAGTCTCAGGCACCTACAGTTGGAGATGTTCAGGTCCTGTTACTGAAACACCAGGGCTTGGGGGGAAATGCACTCCCCCACTGTAGGTTGATTCTCATTTCTCATTTTCCCAGGAAAGAACATTAACTGCATATGTTAGAATCTGTATTGTCTGCTGTGTGCCAGGATTGAGGAAGTAGCACTGGGTTTGGATCCCAGTTTGGATGAATTCTTGATGGATTTGGGAATGGGGGAGGAATATTATTTCTGGGGTCCATTCCCGACATCTGCATGGCAGTATTGTCCCCCACCCATTTTCTCCAATATCTACAGACCGGAAGGAGTAAGCTGTGGATTTCTGAGGGGGAGGGAGAAACAGAACATTACCCCACCGGCTAAAAGAAAAACAACAACAGCCGCAACCAGTTATTGACAATTAATTTATATTTGTGACAAAAAGAATTGCCACTGTCCTAGTGATTTCTGATGTAAATATGTTTGTTTATAGAGTATGTATTAAAAAATTTTTCCTACATTGTAGGCTGTACTTTGGATTCTTGTATATTAAAATGTGACATGGACATTTTCAGAAATTGGACTGACTGCTTGTTTTCTGTTTGCTACCGCCGCGCGATGAGTTCCTTGTGTCAGTTTGTTGGACGGTTTTGTGCAGAAAATGCAGGACATTTTTCTGGACGAACCCACCGTGTAGGCACACGTTTTCCAAAATGAGGCTCACCACTTCATTGAAACCTCAGCGCCTAGGACTTGCCGATCATCAGGTCGGCGGTTCGAATCCCCGTGGCCGGGTGCGCTCCCGTCGTTCGGTCCCAGCGCCTGCCAACCTAGCAGTTCGAAAGCACCCCTGGGTGCAAGTAGATAAATAGGAACCGCTTACCAGCGGGAAGGTAAACGGCGTTCCGTGTGCTGCGCTGGCTCTCCAGATGCAGCTTGTCACGCTGGCCACGTGACCCGGAAGTGTCTGCGGACAGCGCTGGCTCCCCGGCCTATAGAGTGAGATGAGCGCACAACCCTAGAGTCTGGCAAGACTGGCCCGTATGGGCAGGGGTACCTTTACCTTTACCTTTTTACTTCATTGAAAACCTCATTTTATGTGCACGTGTAACAGCGGGATGATGAGCGAGGGGTATCCTGCCTGCCAGAATCTTAGAAAATGCTCCTTAAATCGTTTGTCAGATGCTCAAGCTCCCAAGTTTCAGAATATTCTTGAATCTGACCTTTTCATCATGATCCTGCACCAACTCACCATCTGTGTTGCAAGCACTACGTCTGTATAAAGCTTGCCTGACAAATGACCTTGCATGGGTGTTGTCTCCTGGCTAGTATCTGAGCAAACTGGCCCAATTCCCAGATGCTGAAGAGGCCTGTACATAAATACACTGCAATTCAATAGATCAGATTGGAGAACCTCGTCTGAATGGGCAACTTTAGGCCCCAAGTGTGGCCTCCCAAGTCTATCTCTATATGGCCCTCAGGACTCTCTGAAGCACACTCACACACAAATTCACCCTGCTTTGCACTTCCCTGGGTTTGTTTTTTTTTGCCTGGCTGGCCTGTGTGCTTGAATTCTAACACTGCTTTTTGCCTGCCTGGATTGAGGCTAGAGAATTGTGGCCCTCAGACTGAAAAACAGCTCGGATGACTTCATGGGGTCAGCCAAAAATGTGATAAATGAATCCGTTGACATAGAAGACGACAGTTATAACATGATGGCATGTTGTATGTCTACTTATGGCAATATTTTAGAATCTTGAGTTTTAGTTTCCATATTTGTGGGCATTGGCTACCAAGCTTCCATTAAACTGGAAGGTAGTGGACTCTTTCACTGAAGGTTTTCAAGCAGAGGTTGGATAACCTTCTGTCAGGGATCCTTGAGTTAAGATTCCTGCATTGCAAGGGGTTGGTTGGACTCGATGACCTTTGAGGTCATTTCCAACTCTACAATTCTGTGATTCTATGCTTTCATGCATCAATCATTTCTTCAGATAACATGAAACGTCACCCTGCATTGACAAGTATATGTAGGTTTAGAAAGGGGCAGACATTAGCAGCTTGGAGGGGGAGGGAATGCCTTAGGAGTTGGCTCTTTCTGGCTAGAGCTGTCTTTCCACATCACTTTTTGTAACATAGACTTTAAGGTTTAGTGACAGGATGTTGGACAAGATGGGTCTTTGGCCTGATCCAACAGGACTCATTCTTAAGTGACAGTGGAGCAGCGCTCAGCAGCAGAATAGGATGCCTTGAGTATATCCTGGCAGCCCTGGTCTTCAATCCTCTGCCTTACTTAGCCTCTCCAGGCCAGTGCATTTTACGGAACACACACCTCTGACTTCTGTCCCTTGGGCAGTTGTACATAGCGCAGCAGATGGGGGAAGTCCACCCCCAACTAACTGGCTTCCTGCCTTCAGAAACAGTTTTGTTTGGTTGTTGGTTGGGCTTGTTTTCTTGGAAACCTGGCTTGTTGAGACCAAAAGGGATTTACTGGCCTTGCCCTGTTGCTCAACTCACACAGGTGCTTAACTTGCCTGGCTGCTTCCCGTCTTCCGTGAAGCTTCCTCCGCTGGGGCTCTACCTTACACACCCTGGGATTCCTCAGAGTTGAGTAAGAGCAGAAATAAAAGCATTTTCATGTAGCAGGTCATTCATGGCGAGAGGACAGGAGGAGAGAGCCTAACAAAGGATTTTCCACACCTGTAAGCACTGGAACCAGGAGTGAAATTTCACAGCTGAGACGTGTTCCCCATAGAGACAGATTTTATAATGGAAACACTGACTCAGCCATTTATTCCAAGAGTCTTGGCAAGGGCGAGCAGTCTGGTTTCACAAGGAGGCCCAGAACTGTAAGAGAAGGGGGGGATTCAAGGAGGGAGAGTTCATCTGAAACTTGTTGGGTCTGTGGGAGGTATTAAACCCCTGCGTGTACTCCTGTCATCCCAGTAGTTATTATTAGTCTGGATTGCACCCTTTTAGTTCCATAAATGCTCTATCTAGAAGTTTGGTCGTCTTATTCTTGGGATAAATCTCCAAAGGTATACAATGGACACATTTCTCTAGAAACCCAGCATATACATAAGGCCCGTTTTCTGGAATTCTGAAGTTTGTGGATGTTTATCGGAGGTGGCAGGGGCGCAGGTGGCGCTGTGGGTTAAACCACAGAGCCTAGGGCTTGCCAATCAGAAGGTCGGCGGTTCGAATCCCTGCGACGGGGTGAGCTCCCGTTGCTCGGTCCCTGCTCCTGCCAACCTATCAGTTCAAAAGCATGTCAAAAAGTGCAAGTAGATAACTAGGTACCGCTCCGGCGGGAAGGTAAACAGCGTTTCCGTGCGCTGCTCTGGTTCGCCAGAAGCGGCTTAGTCCTGCTGGCCACATGACCTGGAAGCTGTACACCGGCTCCCTCGGCCAATAAAGTGAGATGAGCGCCGCAACCCCAGAGTCGGTCACGACTGGACCTAATGGTCAGGGGTCCCTTTACCCTTTACCTATCGGAGGTGGCAGGCCTCTGCACACCAGTTGCCGAGAACTGTAAGTGGGCAGAGTGCTGTTGTGTTCATGTCTTCCTTCAGGGATTCCCAGAGGCATCTGGGGCTGGTTACTGCGAGAAGACAATGGACTGAAGGGGCTGCTGGCTTGAGCCAACAGGGTGCTTGTATTTTTACAGTTCCTAGATCACACTTCAGCTGAAACATACTTGGCAAAAGTTCTAGAAATTCGACGGCCGCAACTCTAAAAAATCACTTACTCAAAAGGAACAGCTATGGGGTGGTTTTGTTTTGTACAAAGTGGTGGGGGGGAGGAATCAACATTAGTTCCTTAATAATTTCGCCGGAAGTTTCAGTAAGCTGATTCACACACAACACAGAACACAGGTACAAGCTGCCTCTACATATACACGCTTGTGGGAAAGAGTGTATGTTTGTTGATCTGCACAGACCAGCTAGTAAGTACACAGGTACACAAACTGTACAGGTGTGAGCACCCCTAGGGTTAGGACAGATTGGGAATACGTTTCAGTTCTTTGAGAGACCTCGCACTGTCTGGGGCCGATGGGAGCAGTAGCCCAAAACATCCAGAGACCACTGGGTTGGGGGGAGGCAGGCTAAGCAGTTAACGAAAAGGCAGGGAAGGCACATGGTTTGCGACTTTTCTCACTCCTACAAAAAACTGCATCACAAGAAAGGAATTCACTGTCCATACGGTTGGGAAGAAAATGTTTTACTTGCACTTTTCATCAATAAATAATTTACAGTATTTACAGACA